GCCACCGATAAAGGCTTAATTGTTAAGCACATTTTCCTACACTACGTAACATTACTAACGTCCACCATTCTAATTTTTGGAAAACTTTTGAGAAATATACAGTACACACACAGAAAACATTTCACCTTTTCATTAATCACTTTATAATTTAGACGAGAGAAAAAAAAAGTTGAACAAAATGCATTTGAAATTGGTTCGAATTTCTCGTTGAAATGGATGGTAAAATTGGCAGAGCCTTGACGATCTCTAAAAAAAATGATAAATTGCTTGATGAGTTTGGGCCGAAGGATGCACAAATCACATTACCTCATCAATTACGATTGGAATGCATCTGACTTGTATTTTAAATGTGCTTAGTCGGTTAGTAGTATTCGCTTTTTGTGTGTTTTCTTTTTGTTCAATTCACATTTTTTTTGTCGGTCCTAGCTTAGCTTGTGCCTTTATGTATTTTTAAATGCGAAAATTCCATAATGATTGAACTGCAATCAATAAATAATGAAGTGTCAGTCGTTAACTGGTGTATGCATTGTGCAATCAATCCATCAGAGCAATACCTCTGGATTGACACATAAACAAACACACACACACACACACGTTAAAATAGAAAAAATGCGGAGAAACAAAAACGTTGAATTGGTTGTTTTGTTCCTTCCTTTGAGTGCCACAAAAGCCAATCACAATCATGAATAATATTTTAACACTATAACCGGTCGTCCGGTTTGAACTCATCATCCCCACTCATCATACTCAGACGTGACAAATAAAAATGTTCGCAATTGGAAAATAAATAACGTGAAACTGATCAAAATTGACAACAATTCGCTAAAACAAAATAAAGGCAGCAGATGGTGTGAATAAAATCTAATGGCAGGTAGATTAGGTGAGGAATGGAGAACAAGCGCGCGTGTCATCCAATTTGCAATGTCACAAAACGATATTTTTTTAGCTTTTGGTAAAAAAAAAATTAAATGAACATTTTCGCCCCGTTTAGCTCAAAATTGAACGAATGTAATGGTTTGTGCTATGGAAAATTAAATGAAAACGGGTTTTCACTCCATTTGAAATGCAATTTTTCAATTTTGGTAGCAGTCGGGCGCGTAATATCGAAAATTATGGTTTTCGTTTTGTTTCCGACCGATTCAATATATATGTATATATATAACGTTCCGTGATGATTGAAATAAAAGCGTACATCAAAAGCTTAAATATGATTTTCTATTTGCTCTTGCATCAATACACCGTGTGAGATGGAATTTGTTGGAGTATGTGTCATTGATGCGATCTATATGTGTCGGTATATGTTTGAATTTTTCGACCAAACGTGTGTGTGTGTGTGTACACGGGAGCGCTGGATGTATCAAAACGTATCAAAAACAAATGTTACTGACAATTCAAACAATTTCCCATTTGGAATAAATTGGCAAAAGTGTTAGATCTTTCATATATCGACACATCGTCGCACAAACGAATCAATGGCGAACAGATAGCGGGAGACAGAGAATGAACAGGGGAAAAAAATGTTACAAACACATTCACTCGTTTTATTTTTTTTTTTTTCATTTACAGCGATCATGATAATCGATTGAAGAAAACGTACCAGCTAAATCGAATATGATGAAAAATAAAAAATTTCAAAAAAATGTGCTCGCTGAAGAGCGCAATGGAGAGATAGAGAAAGTGAGAAAGATAACAGAAACAACAAAAAAACACCGACGAACAAATCGATGAAGTGATAAAGCGCACTTGTATAGAAATATATAAATATACACAAACAATTTGCAAAGACACTCTTTTATCAATTGGAAATTGTGCGCTCTTTCTCAATTCACATGATTTAGTTTGATTTATCCGATAACTCTATAGTGTATGTGTATCAGGACATCGTTTCATTTGTGTGAACGATACTCTCTCTCTCTCTCTCTCTCTCTCTCTCTGTTTGTGTGTGTGTGTGTCTCTTCTCTCTGAGTGCGCCTGATATATTGGAAGACAAACAGGACGAAGATGCGAAAAACAAGTCGAAAAGCAAGAAGAAAATGATAATAAAGGAGAAACGAGAAAACATTAGAAATAAAAATGCGGAAAGCATGTGAGAAGAGACATAGATAGAAGCAATGGGAGAAAAAGCAACAACTTTCTCGCGAAATCGACAAAGGCAACGAAGTCAAATAAAAACACGAACCAAGAGCGTTGGTTCTCGCGCGCGTCGACTGTGAGTGACGAGAGCTTGTAAGATAGATGCACAAGGAGGCATGTGTGAGTGTAGGAGCGAGCCCGTGTGAACATTCTTGACACAACAGATTTTTCAATATTGATATATCGAATTCAAGTCGTAGTCAAGTTTCGTATTGGCTTTCCACTTGATTTTACTTCTCTTCCGCAGCCAGAAAAATTATTTACAGTCCTCGCATACACACTCACATGATGCACGCGTGTTCCCTGCTGTCGATGTGCTTATATTTTATCCAACAATTTCACTGCTCATCATCCGTATTGAACAAGACGATGCATAAAATCATTTATGCCATTATATTTGCGCTTCGGCCGTATTTGTATTCGCATGAAATACTTGTCTTTTGCTAGCGCGTCTTTATGAGATTCAACGCTGATTTGTGATCGTGTTACCGAAATACGGTACACCAATGATAAACATGAATCTTTGTTCCGTTTGATTTTGTGTGTTTAACAATATGCATATATGTGTGCCGCCGGGAGTAGAGTGGAGAGACAGCGTTCGCCTACGCTCATTACGGTGCTATTAAAACGATTGCAAAGTTAGAGCACACTGGAGCATAAGGAAGAAAGAAAGAAAAAAGTTTGCGAAAATTTTTCTTCGACTCAAAATGAGCTATTGTTTATTACGATGCTTTTTTCCTCACGTTTGGTCGGAAATTTCTTGACTACGTACCATATTCCTCCCCTGAAAATGCGTATGCATAATCATTTTTTGGTGTTTCAACTTTCACAATGGATGGCAAAAATGAAAAAAAAATAAGAAGAAGAAGAAAAAAAGCGAACGAAAAATCTGCTCCAAGTTTTCCGTTGAATTGTTGCTCTTTTTTGTATTTGATATCATTTCATCCCTTATTTTATGTTTTCCCAGCAAAAGCAACAAAAATTTGTTTTGACAACTTTTGGCAAGTGGAACAAACAAAGTCAAGTTCTTTTTTCTCTTTCTCGCTCACCCTCCCATCTCCTATCTCTCTCGTTTGCTCACTAAATACTTGCTCAGCAAAGAAGTAATCGAAAATTGGACAAATTATTTTAATAATAAAGACGCTGCCATGTCGAATAGCGGAAATTAGGTGCAAAAAAAAGTGATTGAATTTCTAGCTAAAGGAAATATTTGGTTTATTAACATTATGATGATTAACTTACCGTTTTTATGCGGGTTGATTGCTTTTTTTTGTCGTCGTCGTTGTTGTTGTTGTTCGTTTCTTCTTTCACTGCTCCGTTCCGCCAAATCTGCTCTGCCGATGACGATGATCCCGTAAATTCATTTGTTTCGGTCACGATTGATTTGAAGTCGACATCATAATTATATGCGATACAATAATGAAAGTTATGCGTTTGTTGGAAGTTTGTTTTGCCAGTGTTAAGAGTTCACCAGAAATAAAAAAACCAGAATGACATCTGTCACAAATTAACGCCAGAAGGTTGTTTTTAATCTTTTGCGCTGTACAAATATGTATGTGTGTGTGCGTGTCAAATGATACGCACAACGTACAAGTTCATTCGGGTACCATCAGTGTGCTTGATAGCAATAGTGCGTGCGAGTGAGCGAGCGAGCGGGCACGGGGTCAATACAAATCGCGTTACCGATTCCCTGCTTCCAAATATATATATATATATAGAAAATCATTGGTGCAAACATGACGATATCGGTTCACTGTATGACGCTAGAATCTTAATCCGGCTTTCCGAAATGATATAACCAGTGAACTTTGGTTTTGGCATAAAAGAACATCGTTCCAGCGTCAATTTGTCAAAGTATTTATTATCGTCATGTGTACACTTCAGCTGTGTTATTGTGTATCGGTATCCACAAAAACCCAGCCAGCCAGCCAAAGCACAAGCATAAACACACATACACGCGCACAAACAAAACAAATACCAACCATAGCAAAAGGGAAAAATGAGCAAAGTTTATAGACTTCATTGTATATTGAATCGTTTTATTATGGAATTCTTTTGTCCGAGCGCATGCATTTATGCATACATAAGATCTGATCTGTCTTTAATAGAAATCTATGGAAAATAAATAAACAAATATTTAGTTGTTTTCCATTCTTTTCCTCTTGCTGCTAATGCTGCTGCCGCTGCTACAGCTACCCTTTCACGCTTTTCATCTGCTCAATTCTCTGGCAATAAAAATAACTAACTTTAAGTTAACGTTTTTGCTCTTCCTTCCGATAGTTGTATACTTTCTCATGTCAATGTTTGTATGTGTGTATGCTGGTGTTTGTTGAGTGATTGTTGTGTCCATTTTTATGTACATTTTTTTCTTTTTCCCGTTATCTTTCCTAATTTTTTTTTCTTTTGTTTGTTGTTCTCATTTGAATGTTTCTCTTTTGCGCTTTGCCCTTTTCCACCCACCAAAATTCATGTTTATATTTTTCATTTTTCGCTTGCTCGCTCGCTCGCCCGCTGGCTTGCTAGTTCGTCCGCCCTCATTCCAATCCAATACGATACGATGAACGAACACTGGTCGAAGTGTTTGCACTTGTTTCAAAATTTATTTATTTTTTTCTCTCTCTTCATTTTAGCCCAAACATTGATTTTTGCAAACGAAAAACTTTCGTGAGCTGACCGTCACGACATATCTCACACTCTCCAGTAGTCGCTAGTGTCGATGTGTGCCGTCAAAATGTCGAAAATATATACATTGCATATATCGAAATAATAGAAATACACTAAACAAAAGGCCATCTGCCTCATATATGCGTGGCCATCGGGGATGGAAGAGCTTCGAGAGCTCGGAAAAATCACTGACACATACTTACATCTATTTACGCAAACTGGTAGGAAATCTTTTGGTGACACAATATGTTAAAACTTTTCTTGATTTCGTGTAAATTTTGCACACATTGTTTACACTTTTGCCCCGTTCATTCGTTTGGTTTGGTTTGCTTATTCTCTATCTCGCTCGTTCTCTATCTCGAGCCTCAGTGTTGTTTGTTATTTCACTTATTTTGGCTATTGTTACTCTGTTTCTGTTTCTGCTACTGTTACACTTGGCTCTTGGTTTCACTGTTCGTTTTCAGTTGCCGCTTTCGGTTTATTACTACTTTTGCTATTTTCACTACTCTCTCTTTCTCTCTCTGTATCTCTGGCCCAGCCGTTCGAAAAAGCAAACTTCAGAATTGTCTCTGACTCATTGTGTATGTGGTCGAGGCTGAATGAGTTCTGAGCGACGAGATTGAATTTTGTCACCCAAGAAAAGTAAAGAACTTTCGGCCAAAATGACTGTAAATAACTTGAAATGGGCCCCGGCAAAATATCCTTCTCTGTCTCTTTCGCTCTCTCTCTCTCTCTCTCTCTCTCTCTCTCTCTCTCTCTCTCTCTCAATATAGTGGCCGGTGTCTTGTTGGGAGCGCTACAAAAGTTCCAGAAGAGTCTCTCAATTTTTGTGTTGATTTTAAGCACTTGGTGAGACACACAAATTGTTTCGTTTTGGATTTCGGAGCGAGTGTCTTTCCGCTTCACTTTTCGGTATCAAATTGCAAAACAAAAATACACACGCACAAACACACTCACAAAATCGCTTGTTGCAAATTTCCCAACCGACACACAAACACACAATAGGATAGGTTGGATGGCAATTTTCGGTGCAAAGATCGTTGTGATGGCCAAATGGAATCAATTCAACTCTGATGGACACAAATGAAATACAAGTGCTATTTGCAGCTGCCACACAATTTTTCGTGTTTTACTTTTTGTGTGTGTTTTTCTTTTTGTTTTTGCTATTTGCTGGATGCTGCTTATTTTTCGTTGCGTCTTTGATCTTTCAAACTACGTTTTGATTAAGCGTTCATCGTTCACTCATTTCATTTTTTTTTTTTCGTCTATAACTTTTTACGTTTCACAGATTCTTAAGCAGTTCAACACGAATCACAAACTTTTTCGCAAACTTTTCCACAAAAGATTTCTTTCATAAATTTTAATTTATTTTTTTTTCGTTCTCTCTCTCTCTCTGTGTGTGTGTCCCTATTTTTTCACCTCGATCTCTGGTCTTCTTTTATTTTCGATATTGCAACTTTGTCTCAGTGAACACAAACGTTTTGAAACACACAAATTTTATGCAAAAGTTCACCGATACACACACACACACACACACATAGATATTCACTAGTTGTGATGTGATATATAAATATAAAGTCTTTTCTGTGTGATCCGTTTTCTCCTTTGTCAAATCAACATAAAAGACATACAAGAGTAATTTTGCCGACGATGTGAGTAATCACAATAAAAGGATTTTCCATCAACAAAAGAGATTATTTAATAAGTGCTCAACGCAGTGTTCCAAGCAGATCGAAAGTCCATCAAAATGTTTCTCACTCACTCACTCACCCACTCTCTTTCGCCCTTTACTCCGTTCGTTTGGTTGATTTCTCTCTGTGTGTGTCGACTTTCTTTTTTATTATTATTTTGCATCCAAAGTCAACGTCGCCGACGCTTAGATGCGTTTTAAGACAATCGAAATTGTTTCACTTGTTTGTAAAATTTAAAAAAAAAATTAAACAACAAAGTACGTGAAGAACTCTTGAAATTAGTCTTGGAGTAACTGAGCGAGTCCTTGCGTTTTATAACATTCAATCAAAATTTTCAACTACGAGCGAAAATAATCCACTTTGTTTATTTTCCGGAGTGCAGAGGAAAATGTTTTGCAAGAAATTCCGAGTCGAATTCCTTTTTCGGTTGTTGTTGTTGTTCGTTCGCCTTTCTTTTAGTTTCGGATTTTAATTCCGAGCTCTATCTTCTCTCTCTCTCTCTCTCTCTCTCTCTCTCTCTCTCTTTCTCGATGTATATGTTTTTCCGCTTTATTTTGATCGTTGGAATCCGAAATTCAAATGTTTTGACTATTGGCACGCGCGCGCACCTAATCGTCTTGATTTGCAACGATTTGATTCCAAACGAATTTCAAGAAGTACCGAAAATTCCACACTAAATCGGCTTGGCCGTCGTTTTCGTTCGCCTCTCGTTGTTTGTTCGAATCGTGAATGAAAAATACGTAAACGCTTTTGCCACTTCAAATAAATAACCGCTACAAACGATACAGTGCGTCCGTTAGACTTGGCGTGTAAAACACTTCTACTGAGCTGTGCGTGCTCGCTCCTATCAAAAATTTGTTCCCAACAAATTCGGCTCGCGTATCCAGCCGACGTATGTTGTGTCATGCGTCTCCCTTCGTCTATGAAGTAGATGATACGAAGCGCGCTCACTGGTGCTCACACGGTCTCTTGCTCTCTGTGTTTGTGCTATATTCGATGTGTATGCTAAGCGTGGCTGTGTACATTGCATCTCGGGCGCGCTCTGTTCTATGCTGTATGTTGTGTGCACACAATGCGAGCTGTTGTGTACTCGGAACCGTTTCGCTTGCTCTCTCTCTCTCTCTCTCTCTCTTTTCCTCTATCCGTCGCATCGTTGCTGATATTTGCTGCCTTTGGATTTAACAAACTGTGATGCGATGAATATTTCGTGACGGTGGACACTCAAGCACCTTCTGTTGATTGCAGCTCACACATACACCAGCATACATAGCGTTGATAAAATCGAAACATCTTAGATCATCGTTCGTTTCTTGCCCTTCCGAACGAATGGGGTGAGCTCGAACAGTTTTTTTTTCTTAAATTTGCTCCAAAACTTGAAAAATAAAAGTCTTTTTTCCCATTAAACTTCATTTATTTATTACAGTAAAAGTTTTACATTGACATCACCCCAAAATGAGGTGCATTTTACTCAGAAGATTAATATAAATTTAAAAATAGGCTTGCAATTCATATTTGGCGATGACGTTGTCTTTGAGCTCAGAGAATGCAGAACGTTCGGCATCAATGAAGCTACTTATTTCCATTATTTTAACTCGATTCCGGTTATATTCAGCTCTGGAAATGAAAAAACATGGAGAGAAGAAAATTCGCAAAGTTTTTCATTTTAAAATTTTAATTTCAGTTCAAAAACCTACAATTCGTATCTTTCGGTGACTTCCGCCAGCCATTTATTAGCTTTGGAACACATTAGATCAAGTTTTTGATTGATAATGCTCACATGCCGTTGTCGCGCGGTTCTGTTGCCGTCCGCACAATCAACGGCATTCGATTGGAAATAGGCATCGCAAGCCGACCGAACGCTGTGAAACGTTTCATTGCTTTTGTCATTCAAGTTTTCAATTATCGTGCGAATTGTGTCGCTGAACATTTTCATTGAATCCATGATACGTTCGTGCAGTGATGTTTCCAATTCGATTAGGGTGTACCAAATGTTGTCGACGACCGTTGCAAAATTATCGCTAATCGCATCGCAGTGTGTGCGATTTTTTGTGAAATTCACATCGTTGTCGACGTTGTCGTCGTCATCTGTTGATTTGGCCATCGTGTGAAGCGTTTGCTTTAAGTTCGTTACGAAATCATTTTTTTGGCCTAAAAACTTATCGATCAGCTCGATGCCAATCGCTTGGACTTGCTCGCAACTATTTGCCAAAGCTTCATCAAACAGCTTGATTTCATTAGCACGCTCGTCATGGCACTGGATACCATACAAATGCATTTCTCGCGCTGCAGCATAAACTCGGTTGCGGTATCTGCCAAAGAGAGGAGGTTTTCCCAATCAAATACTTTTAACCACATTCTCTTCCACTCTCCCTCTCCCTCTCCCTTTCCACCGTCTCCCACTCTCACTCTCGCTCGTCTCAGTACTTACAGTTGAATGTCGGATTTATTTGTGTCATTTAGACTGGTTTCGGTGTCCAATACAATGTTGTCGAAACTATTTGCAAAAAGTGATTCGAATAGTTGATGTTTATCTAGATCCTCGACAAAGCTAGCGCCAGATATACGTAATAGTTCGACTTCAAGTGATTGCTTGTGTCGTTGAGTTGACCGTTCCGACTCGTTTTCCTCTAACATTCTCAATTTATTCCTTGAAATCATAATAAATGCCCAACATTTTGAGATAAATGGTTTTGGTAATTTTGTGTTCAAAAAGAGACGAACCAAACGGACACATCCATACAGGCAAAGAAAAACGCGCACACACACACACACACACACACACCGATATAGAGACACAGAGAATAACAGACACACAGATAAAGCGATAGAAATGCGTTTGGGTGCGTCGTACAATGTACTTGTACATACTTGTAAATCTCTTGACCTTTATCCCGTTCTGCATTAGTGATGACTTGATAACCATAATATTTAAGTTTGGGCAAATACGCAGCGATGTACAATCGAAAATCAATATTATCGGTGAGCTTATCGCAAATAGGATTCCCCTCTAAGTTCAAAGAGAACAATTGCTCCTTGTAGCGGAGACTCTCAATCTGAAATGAAAACAAAAGGCGAACGCCAAACGACGCAAGTATCACGAACAATAACAACAACAGCAACAACACACCTTGTGCATATATTCAAAATCTCTTCTGAAGCAAACAAAAAATGAAAACGAACGGAAGAAAACAGAAAAAAAAAACAAACGACCAGAGCAAAGCATTGATGGAAAATAGAAAATTTTTTATTACTCCTTCGACTGTCTCGATGAAATTGTTTCCCAAATTCAGTCGCACCAAATGTTCCAATCGGTCGAGATTGTCGATTTTTCGGATGTCATTCTGAAACAGTGTGAGATACTGCAATTTGCGCAAACATTCCAGATTCTTGATAGTTTTGATAAAATTAAATGACAAATCCAATTCACGTAACTCCGTTAAATTGTCCAGATTTTCGATTATTGTCAGTTTGTTGGCTTTTAGCGATAGTTTTTGCAAATTGAAGCACATCCAAATATGATCGATTTTCAAAATGTTCTGATATTCGAGACAAAGTTCGGTGATTGTGCCGTAATCAATGGCAATATTACGACAAAGTCGAGCCGCCTCACCACGTGGCCCATGTGCGCGTATCAGATTTTTTAGCATTGCATCGTTTATAACACCTGGTTCGGATGATTTTTTCACAACATGTTGATGCTTGGTGTCACTTGCTTTTTTGTCGTCGTCATCGGCGTTGCCGCTACCACCGATTGCCGTTGATTGGTCAACTTTAGTCATTTCGTAAACACTCATATATATAACAACAAATATATGCACGAACTTGCAGGCACACCCAATTTTACGTTTATATCGTTGTTCACTCTTCACTGGGGTCCAACGCATTTATCAATTTTTGCCCATTGAACCAAGCAATGGCTATCAATATATTTTCCGTTCGCTTCAATTTATTATTTTAAATTAGAAAATTGTTTTTCATTTGGATTTCCATGGAAAGATGATGGAAACGAACAGCATTTCTAAACAAATGTGTCCGAATTGAATCGAAGCACCATGGTTACAACGATATACAATGTTCTCTACGGGGCTTGATAACAAAATCACGCGCTCGCGCAAAACCATTCCAATTCCATTTAGCCAAACGGTTGCTTAGCACTGTGTTTAAATAATCATCGATATTGTTTTCGCCGATTTATTTAATTATTATAGCAGAATTTTCACATTTATTTACGCCGAGACTTCTATGGATGCGTGTAGAATGGGTATAATGTATTTATTTATTCTTTTTTGTGCTCGATTTCTCGTTGCGTTCCGAGTGAGTTTGCCAGGATGATGCGATGAGAGCAACAGACCAAGAAAGAAGTCGAAGGCAACAACAAAAAAAAGTAGACACACCAAATATCGATATATTGTATATATGTGTATCGTTTGCAATATGAATTTCGCTACGTCTCGATAACACTTTTCATTTGTGCGGGAGAGAGAGAGAGAGAGAGAGAGAGAGAGAGAGAATGAGAGCAATTTATAAATTTTTTTTTTCGGCTGTTGCTACTTGACATGATGATTTATTAGATGAAAAACCTCCACACAGAAAAAAAGATGCGTGTCCTTCAATTTAATGCGGCAAATTTGATACTCGAAAACCGAACACACTCGTTATTTTCAAACGAATGAACGAACAACAGAGTGAGAGATTGAGAGAGAGAGGGAGATCGGGCAAGGGGGAGTCCAAATTCAATCAATGCACACAGTTTCACACGCGTGCAATCAACCTTATGAGAAGAGGCAAGTATTCACTATCGAGGCTTCGAATTAAACGAGAGCAAAAGCGTGGATCAGAGTAATGAATTACATACGAAACGATACAAATCGAAATCAAAATCGAAATAGAATTAGAAATTGAAGTCTGAAAAGTAGAAATGAAACATCAATTGGGCAACATACACACGTATATATTCAATGGATACGTACATCACACGTATATAAAGCCATGAACCCATACATATGCCTAATGCCCGAAGAAAAGCCAACAGCACGCCTCGAACCGCAACAATATTGAAATATTTATTAAGACCAAAGTTGCTGATTTTCATTTGACGCTAAACACTATGCCGAAAAAGAAAAGCAGAAAAAAACAATCGCAACTTTTTTTTCAGCATTTTCTGCCATTCAACATTTTTCTTTTTTCGTCTTGCAAAGCAAATTCTTGAAATCTTCGGGCTTTTGTGTCGAGACACGATGGATTGAATTGTATCTCTGAAATGTTGTTGTTATTATTATTGTTGTTCCATGGGTAGACTTTTCATCGGCTTATTTCTTTGTTATCAAACTCATTTTCACTCGATATCATCGACATTCGTGTAATGAATAAGTTGATTCTTTTTTATTCGCTGACCTTTTCTAGTGATGTATTTTCACAGAGCAATCGGTCGCGTTGAGTTTCACCACCACACATTCTATTTGCTTGCATGTTGAATGGCGCGTGCTTTTTCTTGTTCTTGTTTTTTGCTCCTTATAGATGCGGTCGTATCACACAAAATCAAAGTGAATAGTGCGAGAGTACATCGAATGGGCACGGTGTCAGCACCAAAGCAACCATATATGAGATATATTGGCCGAACAGCATGCATGAAATCTGACAAACTGGCGCAAACAGTGGGTGGATGTAAGATAAAAGAGACGAACACAGAAGGAGAGAGCAAAAAAACAACCACCACCACCACCGCCGTCAACCGAAGCACATGAAATAGTATAGATAAGAAAAATGAAAAGACTGGCGAAAATAATCGCATACAAATGAAAGTGAATTGGAAGTGACTAAAAATGAAGAATTTGTTTTTCTCGGCATTCTTTCTTTGCCATTTTCCCTTGTCTTCTGCACCGTGCCGCTGCGCTACATCAAATGGATAAATAACCGAAAATAGAACGACGAGAAGAATTTCGTATAAATAAATAAATGCGAGTGTATATACGATTTTTATATCGATTTTGATGAGACCCATTCATCTCATGTACTTCTCAAGTGAATGGGCCATAAATGATTTTCTTCACTTCATGTTTTAGCGATCGTTGATTTTCTGAGTTTGGCCAATAAAATTAAGGCCAACAAAATAAGGCTTTCACCACAACGTCATCGATCACTTGCCACGTCCGAGGCACTCTATCGTAATCATTGTTGTGTTGTGATTTCATTAGAACTTCACTTGAATATTCACTTCAAGAATCACGCAATTTTCCATGAAAATGTGAATTGAATGCCAGATACGCTGGCCAGGGGGACGTCAACGACGGGTGACGGTGGTTGTGGTGGTGAGGAGCACAGCAGGTGGGCAAGCGGTGTACAATGTACATACCCACACACACACACACACACCAAAAATTTCGCAAGGGTAATCGTTTGTAACCATTTGAAAAAATCAATCCACCAAATTGGATTCGTGATTGGCATCTCGGCTGCACCACTCACTATCGGAATTATTTCCAGTATTTATTTAAAATCCGAAGAAAATTCATGACGCTCGAATGAATAAAGAAGAACTTGGCGTGGAATTGTCAATGAAAAATCAAATTCAAACATAAACTCAACAAAGTTTTATTTGTTTGTTTGTTTGTCTGTTCATTCATTCGTACGTTCGTTCGCTTCATTTTTTTTCTCTTTTTCGTATTTTTTTCATTACCAAAAACTTCGGCATTGCCACAGCCTTTGAACACTGAACTTTGTGTTTCGGTTAGTGTATGCCAAAGCAATTATACCATGTTTATTATAAGTTTAAAGTTCATCTCGAAACTCGAAAACGATGCAATATTAGTTATCACTTCACAGTCGCATCGAACTGAGCGCCAAATTGAAGCGAGACGAGGGTGGATGCGAGCCGGGTTGCAGTTTAGACAGATTGTTGCCGTTTCGGTGGTGTTCGAGAGAGACAAAGATCGAGAGTGAGAACGAGAACGAGAACAAACAGACGTGTTAAATACATTTGGTAATTTCATTCGTATTTATCTTTGCGAACAATTCTCAATAAAGTTTGATTTTCCCGGCATTTTTCCGCCGAACACACGCGACATATGAAATTATGATTGCCACTTCATGAGCGAAAAACAGACAAATGATACGCGCACTGCGAAGGAATACAACTAGAGACGCACACACACACACATACAGATAGAGAGAGAGAGAGAGAGAGAGAGAGAGAGAGAGAGAGAGAGAGAACGCAAGCGGATGACTTGGGATGCAAAGTAATTTGCATTCGAAAGTATAAACTGTGTGCTAAGAAAGTGTGGCCCTCATCAAGTATCAACCGAGAAATAAGGAAGAAAAATCAGCCAAAATAAATAGGATACGAAGGATACGTACGATTGTGGTCTCGTTTCATTTACCAAAATGTCGTTTCGATTTATGGCCACAGTCACACAGATTTCGAAGTGCGTACGAGAGAGAGAGAGAGAGAGAGAGAGAGGGGGGAAAAAGAAACAACAACTACCACCACCTCCCCTCGGATAGAAAGCGAGACAAAGAGTAGGGGAGCAAGTGATTTTTCAGCAAGCGACGTTCCGCAGGCTCATGGTAAAATAAATAAAGAAGCGAGAAAGAGTAAATATTTAAAATTGTTTTTCGATTGTTGTTTGTCGTGGGAATCGAAATTACATTCAGTGTGAACAATCATGTGAAACGAGCATTGGTGATGATGTCGCGCGCGCGAATAAATAAACATCCGAAAGCGGATTCTATTTCTTATGCTATTTCTTCATCGTCGTCGTTGTGGTCGTTGTCGTTTTCTTCGTTGCCGCATCGTTCTTCCCGTCAAATCTATTAACCACAAAGAACTTGATTTAAGCTACTATTATTATTGCTATTTCGTTTATCGTTCCAACTGCGGGGGATGCTTGTCTATCAATGGGAAAACGGAATAAAAGCAAATAGATTGAATGCTCACCGGCATCAATACCACTATCCATGCAAAATGGATGAGGAAATTACATAAGCAAAACCAATGTTGTACAGATCAATACAACAAAATGTGATGAATTTAGTTTATTGTCATATTGACGAATATTTACAGAATCACCCAGACAACAATAAAAAAACAAGTATTTATGATTTCCCTTATCTTCCTCATATTCATATTTATAATGAAATGCACCCACAAACCAACTATTTACTTAAGAAATAAAAAAAAATCCACCCTCGAACATAAATACGGCAAGGATTTTATTGTGCCAGTTCCGTGAGTTTGGCGCGTGTGGAAAAACAACACACACATACACATTTTACTGGTTATTTTTTTTATTGAGAAAACACAAAATGATTACAAATTAAGAATTAAGCAAAAGTATGTGTGAGACCGTGTGCATCACTTAATGTGACGCGTCCCTTTTTACCGAATTTCTTTTTTCGTGTTTATTTTTAAATTCAATAGAGAGAGAGAGATAGAGAAAAAACTCATTTGATGCCATTCTGTTGACAGTGAATATTGTTGAAATGGTTTTTCAATAACCGTACAATGTGAGAATAATGAGCATTAAAATTGTGTGTATTGATTTTCGAATTGATGCGAATGAAAATGCGTTGATTTCATGTCAATTTTATTGATGCAAATTCTAATCAAATTCAATTGAAAATTTAAATATCGATTCAATTATATGCTTTTTTTGTCCCTCCCTCTCTTCCACTCCTGTTGTAAAATGATTTCGATTCATTCAATCATTCTAGGGCCACAGTATGTAGCGTATTGTTGCGAAAAAAAAGAGTGTGTGTATATGGAAATCCATTCTAAATTTGAGCTCACTTTGGTTTGTTTATTACTTTTTATGCAGAGCTCTTTGATTAATTGTAGTTTTGGAGAAAGATGCGCACATATGGACGGTATGTGCGTGTATTGAATGAATATAACAACAACGAGAAAAAAAGAGAAAAAAAAATCACAATCTTTTGATTTCCATTGAGCCGAAAGCATTTGGAAAGAGTTTAATTGAATTTCGTAGATGAAAGGGGATATGAACTAAAAATAAAGAGCATTTATTTTTATTTAAAAGGTCATGTACAAATCTTTCATCGTTGCATTGATTTTCGTAATCAAAACAAATATTTGAAAGAGAGAAAGAAAGAAAGAAAAAAAAGAGGAAATACCACGCAGCAAACGATGCCAACTGTGTTTGAGGTTTGTTTTTATTGTAGCCCCGAGAGCAAATATTTAGATTATATTCGAACAGTGTGTTTTGAGTGCTGCCACTTTTCGATGATGTTCAACCAATGTTCCGATTTTATTTTTTTAAATGCAGTATTGGCAAACGTATCCCTTATTAATCTCAACTGTTTCTTTTTTGCCATGTCTTTTTCCGTTGCCATTGCCACACCCCACCATCCCATCCCATCACACCATCATCTCAATCAACATCGTCTTCGAAATGGTATGGCAAAGGCAATAGGAAAATTGGTCACATCGATTTGAAGTGACACTTTGGCTGGCGTTGCTACTTTTCTGTTATGGGATACAAACGATCTGCTTTCGAGCACCCACAGGAAGATGATGCTATATACATTAATGTATCCATATATTCAAATCTATCTCTCTCTCACGCTCTCTCTCTCTCGCTCTCTCTCTCTCTCTTACTCGCTCGCCATTTTTGGCAACAGCAGAAAATGTAATTTCGATTGTGAAATCATACAATTTATGCCCGTCGACCGTTGAGATAAATTTAACTGTCGCCTCGTCTTATTTCCATTTTGGTGATACGATGATGATGACACACAATTCGTTCGCTTGTGTGTGTGTGTGTGTGCCTTTTTTTGCTCTCTCTCTCTCTCTCTCTCTCTCTCTCTCTCTCTCTCTCTCTCTCTATTTTAGTTCGATTTCCCAGACTCCGACAGAAGAGTTGCATTGTGTGGTACTGGTAGTTGTTGTTGTCGTGTGCTCTATTCCTGGGAGCCCAGTTTGCTTGCTAACGTAATTCATTTGCGTAACGCATCGTCAATTCCGAAGCATACGCTTGCGAAAATCATCTAACCCAATAAAATTTATGATTTATGCCTTGACTTTTGCACTGCGAAATACATAAAATGTAATAATTGCATTTAATATGCGGTGATGGCTGAACGTTCGAATACGCTTCTGTTTTTGTTTTTGTTTATATGTGCACATTTGTACAGCCACACACACATACGATCCAAACCATTTGCTGTGTGCTTCCACTGCTGCTGCCATCAGTTCACATATATCTATCGTTAATGTTGCACTTTGCGCCCGGAAGTCGAAGCGCGAATACTGAGTGTTGTTTTGTCTCAAAATTATCATATTCCGAATTTAGTGTTTGTTTACTCTTTGCTCGGCACCCGAAACTTCTCCGTGCGTGTGATCTTCCGATATAAATGTTGCGTTGGTTTGTGCGACATAGCAAAAGAGCGACTGGATGATGCAGAGAGCGAGAGCGAGAGTGAGCAAGAGAGATGCCTGTATTAATTTGGATTTTGCACGGTTTTTCCACTGTAAATTGGATCAGATAAAAGTTGCTAGCTTCGGGGTCAGTACAAAAAATGCGCGAAACGAAGAAGGCGCTCTGCATTTATGCAATGATATATGGGCGCAGAAAAGTAGACATCTGTGTGCATTTTCCACCGGCCACGTGTTTTTAATTAAAAATTATGCAAACGATACATACGAATCTATCAGCCGTTGGGCGCAATGTATTCAGGCCATTTAACAAATTCAAATAGACGCGATTTCCATGTCATTTTTAATGTCGTCTGATTTATTTCAAACATGTTACAGTTGCTATTACAATTTCAATCCAGTCACCAGAATACGAATTCGATCGTTGTGGAATCGAATGTTTCGAGAAATAAAAACAAAACTCTTTTGCGAAATTGCAACGAATCGACATCGCATTTGTTCAAGATTTATGGGTACTCTGAAATGTGTGAGAAACGATAATGAGACTGCTAGATCGTGGCTTGAACAAGTTATACTTTCAACAATTGAGTTTCCAGGTTTTGTTTTCATTCAAACATAAATATTTGGAAGTTCACTATTTTGTTCAGCTATATGTGTAGTGGTAAGCGATTTGTAATAGTTTTGGTAGTAAATAATGTATTGTTGAAGGTATTCGAAATACAGTATCTACCTACCTGCAATCCATGTGCCTCAAAGTCCATATAGTCTGTAATTATTTTATGGATATACAAATGACTGATTCTGAGCACGTTGGAGAAAAATAAATTGCAACTATAGATAAAATCATAGTCTAGACAAAGTTCATCGTTGACTAGTTGACAGTATTAAACTGGTTGTGTTTTAATTATTGATTAACGAAGAATTTTTTTTAATGCAAATACATTAATGCAATTGTGATATTTTCGCATAGTGTACAATTATTGTTTGTATATATTTGTGTATACATACCTTTCTATGTCGTTGTCACTGCCGAGTACCAGAAGATAATATGGATATAATTAAGAAAGCAGGCATTGAAGCGGAAAGAAAGAATGAGAGAGGGAAAGAGGGAAAGGGGAAAAAACAATAAGAAAACAAAAAATGTTATGTGCATAGAAAGCAAACAACATGTGCCATACAAAATAAGGATATTTTGTCACTTCTCACAAATTTCGGCAGAACTAGCATTTATGACTATGTATATTTATTCTAAAATGAGAGTTTCTCATGAAATTTACTGGTTCAATGTATGGTTTTCTATACAAAGTTCTGGTATGAGCCTTCGACGGTGATAGTTCAAACATTCAACTGTTAAACCAAAATATTCATTTCAGGAATATTGGACTATTGTTGCAACAGATTTTGTAAACAAAATAAAGTTGACATAAACACGAATTTATTTAAAAAAATAAAGTAGACATCTGTGTGCATTTTCCACCGGCCACGTGTTTTTAATTGAAAATTATGCAAACGATACATACGAATCTTTCAGCCGTTTGGCACAATGTATCCAGGACATTTAAAAAATTCAAATAGACGCGATTTCCATGTCATTTTCTTACTCTGAAATGTGTGAGAAACGATAATGAGACTGCATACCATCAAATTTGTTTCATTAGATTTTCATAGTTTATTTTTTTCTTTCTTAAAATTTAGAATATGTAACCATTATTCAAATGCATATTGCGATTTGGCTTGGCGGGAATTTCACAATTGGTGTTGTGCTTAGTAATTCAAATAGTTTGTCGGTCATTTGCATCGATTCCCCAGGGGAAGAAAATATGTGTGTTGTGTGAGTGAATGTGTATGACTTGTAATTATTTCATTTATTTTTTTCTTTTGCTTATACTTAAATACTGAACTTGAATTCGTCTATGTTTCATCAACCAAAAATAAATTCAGTTCAAAAAAGAAAACATCTTTCAGCAACTGTAAATTTCAAGTTTTCTAATATTTTTGTTTTTTTTTCTTCTTTAGTTTTGAAATAATTTACATAATAATTAAACATCTACACGAACGACAAAAAGAAGGAGAAAATTAAAACGAAATCCAATGAGCAAAAAATTCAAGATAGGAGAACAAAAAGAAAAGTGTAATTCTTACTACGAGTACTTAAATTAAGAGCCTATCATGGATTGCATGTTAAATATGATTTCTGTGTTTTGTTTTGCTGTTCTCTTTGTTATGATTTTCCATTTGTATCTTTACTTGTTATTATTTCTATTTTGTTATTGTTTCTTACAATTTGTTTTTAATAACGGTTCGAAATATGTGTGTGTGTGCTCTGAAACGATTAATCTTGGTGCTAATTGGTCTAATAAGATTCTGATGCGTGTGTGTGTGTGTCGTGTTTATATGTTGTATGAATTATGCTGGCATTGTTCGTTGTCACCAAATGTGTTTTGAGTTGAATTTCGATATCAAAATTTGATAGAAGGCGGTGTTGGTCGTCGTCATCATCATCATCAAATCGACAATAGTTCGGTGTGTGTGTGTGTGTGTGTTGCTGTCTGTCAGTGTGTTTTGTATATCTCTATTCGCTTTTGCCGTCGCACGCCACAATTTTCACTTTGTCAACGCGAGCAAATTCGTGCACCTCCCGGAATTCGACATCGTTCAGCATCAATGTCCAAACATTATCACAAAATCGGTACGTGTTCAATTTGGCCGCTTTGAATGTGACACGTGCTTTAACCTTTGTATTTAGTGCTGTGTTTATTGATTTGTCGAATTGCAACAGGACTTTGAGCGCCAATTGTGGTGTAATTTGACCAAACTTCATTCGATGTAAACCGTGCAACCAGATCCGTTCGATGTGAATATGAACGTCACATAGAAAAAAAAAGAAGAATATAATTGAAAATGAGTGGAACGAAAATTCGAACAAATAAACACGAAATCAATGTATGCTATTGCAATTTAATTGTATTGTTGGCACCAAAATGTCTGTCGATTACGGTCTCAATCAGCAACAAGTAATTGTTGATTGATTTCATTTCATGCGCAAAAATTCACTCCATCAAGACTGTGTGCATATGACTTGTGATTTTTTTTCTCTTGTTCTTATTTTGTGTGCCCAGCATATTATTTCGCAATACATACCTGAATCAATTCGTCCAAACTCTCTTGCAATGTATTCCCCAATGTGGTGTTCCGATACAGTTGATAAGACATCTTGGATGGTGATTTGATTTGCCAGCTAATAAATTTCAAATGAAAATAAAGAGTTCTATTTTTTCCCTTGTCTTATTCGGTCGTTCTTTGGATTTACAACACTTTGTTTTGAGAGAGTCCGGGTAGTGAGCCTAAGTAAATGTGAAAAGTCTAAAATACAAACGCCAAATGTCATCCGTAATTGACACGAACATACGATGATGGCGCTAAAAACTGTCTACTGTAACGCTCTCGTCCACAGAGGCCGCCACATTTTCGGATAAAACTTTGTTCTGTTTGCCGCAATGAGCTTTCAATTGAGTACATATAAATTCGACCGTATTGCTTGCGATCATTGTATGAAATTCTATGCATGAGTCAGCATTCGATTGGCGATTATTGCGCGCAGCTGATCGCTAATTTATTGCAATTCAATGGAATTTATTTGAAATTCGCTGAATAATGTGAATAACAAGGTGTGTGTTGCGAAATAAACGAAGAAATTTATACATTTTCTGTCAGCATTCCGTAGAGAAAGAGAGAGAGAGAAGGACAACAGCGGATAGTTTTCCGCCTAGAATTGGGCTGTAATCAACGCAAAAATGTCAGTTTAGTACAACATTTTTCATTTGACAGCAGTAGAATTGACCATATTGCTTGTTGAATATTATTATTTACCTACATTTTGTGTTTGCAAAAGAGAACTCACTCTCTCTCTCACTCTGTGTCTCTGCCAATCTTGATAAATTGATTGTATAAAGTGAATTCATGTGCCCCGCATTGATTGGCCTCTGTACATTTCGAAAAATTGAACATTTCTTTGCGAAACAATTCACGAAACAAACAAAAAAAATACGTACAATTTGCAGTGAAACGAAGTAAACGTGCGCAAAATACCCGATGAGCTAACTAAATATATATCGGAAAAGTAGCTGTGTTCAAGGCTGATGCAGACACAAATCGAAAATAAATGTTGTTAATAATGTTTATATGAAATAGTTTGTTTGGTTTTACTTTTTGTTTTCGTAATCCTTCGAACAACAACAACAACAACAACAATAACAACAACGAAACAAAGTGGGAACTGTTTGAGAGGGATTCTTGTTTGGCATCAACTGGCGGACATTTGTTGCGCGTTTCGCACGCCCAAAAGTGCAGATAAATGTTCAGAATGGCACCGTTTCGTAGAAAAAAACCGGATAAATCGTTTCCCGTGAAAGTGATTACGTTCGATTCGGAATTGGAATTCAAGTTGGATTACAAAGCAACGGGCGGAACACTGTTCGATTTGGTGTGTCGAACGATCGGATTACGTGAAACGTGGTTCTTCGGTTTGCAGTATGAAGACAACAAAGGCTTATCCACCTGGTTGAAACCCGATAAAAAGGTCCTCGATCAAGGTGTGAAACAAACGAATGGCGGTTGTGTGTTCATGTTCTACGCGAAATTCTTCCCCGAAGATGTTAACGAGGAACTGGTGCAAGAAGTGACACAGCATTTATTCTATCTGCAAGTGAAACAAGCCATTCTGTCAATGGACATTTATTGTCCGCCCGAGGCAGCCGTGCTGCTCGCTTCTTACGCCGTTCAGGCCAAGTACGGGGACAGTGACGGCGATGGATGCGAACCAAACATGTATAATAACGAAAGTCTGCTGCCACAACGCGTAATCGACCAATATCAAATGACACCGAAAATGTGGGAAGAACGAATCAAAACGTGGTATGACGATCACAAAGGAATGTCACGCGATGAGGCCGAAATGGAATACTTACGAATTGCACAAGACTTTGATATGTATGGCGTCAACTATTTCCCAATTACGAATAAGAAAAACACCGAACTCTGGCTGGGCGTCACATCAATGGGCTTGAACATTTATGAGAAGGGCAACAAATTGCAGCCAAGAACCACCTTTCAGTGGTCAGAGATTAAACACATTAGTTTCGACGATAAGAAATTTACGATTCGGCCAATTGACAATAAATCACCGAATTTCGTATTTTACTCACAAAAACTGCGAATCAACAAAATGATATTGGATTTATGCATCGGAAATCATGACTTATTTATGAGACGTCGCAAACCAGACACCATGGAAATCCAACAAATGAAGGCGCAAGCCAAGGAGGAGAAATTGCGACGTCAAATTGAGAAGAAAAAATTGGCCAAAGAGATTGAGCTGCGGAAAATTGCCGAATTTGAGAAGCAACAACTCGAACAGCAATTACATCAACTGAAAAATGAAGTACGAAATGCGAGCGAGGCTCTGCGTCGGTCGGAAGAGACGGCCGAAATTTATGCGGAAAAAAGTCGTCTAAAAGAAGAAGAGGCTCTGTTAACCGAACACAAAGCGCACACATTCAAACAGGAAATGGATCGATTGCGGGAAAGTCATATGAAAACGGAAAAGGAAAAGGCCGAACTGGAGCAAAAGATTCGCGATTCCGAATTCTGTGTTATCCATTTAACCGAAGAGAAAGACAAACGGATCGCCGAAGCGGATAAATTGAAAAATGAATTGATTTATGCACGCGAACGTGAGCGCGAAGCAACCAAGAAATTACTGAATTTCTTGAGTCGATCGGTGGCTCAATGCTCCATGGAATCAATAACCACGCTGACCAATTCGAATACCGATTCGACGGCATTCGACACCGATTTGACGGCATGCGATCTAATCGTGGCCAGCGGCGATATGCAACAGATTACGAATGAAATCGAAAAGAACCGTGTCGAATATATGGAAAAGTCAAAACAGGTGCAGAATCAATTGCGCACACTTCGCTCGGAAATTGAATTGCTGAAAATCGAAGAGAATCAATGTGCCTTAGATATAATTAGTGCCGAACAAATGCGTAGCGGTGAAACGAAATACTCAACATTAAACAAACTCAAATCAGGCTCGACGAAAGCGCGAGTAGCTTTCTTTGAGGAGCTTTGAACAGAAAAAAAATCCGAAATTACCCATGTTTTATCGCACACGAAACAAATATAGAGGAATCGATTTTAGGATTTTTAGATTTTGTCTCCTAATAAAAACATAATTGTTTTTTTTTTCCTAAATCAATCACAATTTTCATGAAGCACATTTTTACTTTAATTTTACAAAAAACAACAACAAATCTTTGCAATAATTCATGACAAATGCCAGGACATTAAAAAAAAAACGTCGATCAAGTCTCTAAATTGCAGAAAAACCAAATTTCTTCTCATTAAGTTCAAAAAAAAAAAATTAACAATGCCAATTCAACTCTTTGTTTAAGTCAAAATTACTTAAAATTTCATTCAAATTCGAATCGAAGAATCGATTAAAAAAAATAAGTCGTGCATGTAAAAAGTATTGAAATATAAGAAGTTTAGAAGTTTACAAAAGAATGCCTAGGAATAAAATGGCAATGATTTAATTTATAGAAATAAAAAAGATACATAAAAGGAAGAAGAAATATTTGTGCGATATATTTAATGGATTGTTACTCATTCTGTTACTACTAGACACTTGTTTTGTCAATTTGTGCCTTCAACAATGTTTGCGACCATTAAATTCATTTTAAGAAAATTCTATTTTGTTGTACTGTACAATTAACAAACGCACCGTGGCAAAAGCAATTGCCATTATTTTTTTTCGCTTCAAACAAAAGACCATCGTTACACAATTTCAACTATTCATTAGAAAGAGCCTGACTGAAAAAAAAAGATATAGAGAAGAAAGAAACACTATTTTTTATACACATTTAAAAAAAAAAATCATTTACATTTTATACAATGTCAAGTCAATTATATACACACACAGAACGAAAATCTAATTTTAAGATTCATACAACCAAAATTGGTTAAGGCGTTTCATTTTCAAGCATTAATTATTCAGATCTGTTTGTAATTTAAAATTTAAACCAAAATAACGAATAAACTATGAAAATAAATGGAATCAAAGCAAAAATAAACTACACACAATTTTATTCCGTTTTGTGAATTCGATTTTGCTCGAAACAGTTTTTATTGTAGAAAAATTCTATCAAAAAACCACACAGTGTCAATTTTTATTTTAAGCTAATTATAAAAGAACAAAAATAAAGAAACAAAAAATAAACCTTATTCAAAATCCTGTTCGGATGTTAAACTCAAAACACAAACACCAGCCATTTTCGTCTTATTTGGAATATCAAAGTGAAATAAATAATTAAAAAAAAAAATATCTAAGCCACAGAATAACGGTAAAAAAAATAGGTAAAATAAACATTGCACGTCTATTTTTTTGTTTTATTTGTTGATGTTGTTGTTGTATATGTAACTTTGTGTGTGTAAAATAAATTACAGCTTTGATTTTGGCTTTTTGGTAACGTGATCTCGTAAAACACGTCGTAGAATTTTTCCCGTGGGATTTTTTGGTATGGCATCTATGAACTTAACACCACCATGAAGTCGTTTTGCAGGCGATGCAGTTTCTAGTAGTGAGAAGAAAGTTGTTTTTTTTAATTAAAGGTAATTTTTTTTTATAGAACGGTGAGAAAAATATTGTCATTCAGCAAGCTTACTGGCAACAAAGTCGATGACGTCCTTTTCGGTTAATTTTGCATTTGGTTTGCGTACCACAAAAGCAAATGGCAATTCACCAGCATTTTCATCTGGAACACCGATCACGGCCGCGTCAATAATATCCGGATGTGTGAGTAGAATTGCTTCAATTTCGGCCGGTGGTACTTGGAAACCCTTATACTTGATTAATTCTTTGAGTCGATCGACAATAAACCATTCAAGATCATCATCGTAGTAGCCAATGTCACCGGTGTGAAGCCATCCGTCAGCGTCGATGGTTTGTTTGGTTGCCTCCTCGTTTCGAATGTAACCACGCATAATTGGGCTACCTTTGAAACACATTTCACCTCTTTGGTTCGGCCCTAGTGCTTTGCCCGTTTCTGGATCAATAACTTTGCCCCAAGTGCCCGGTCGCAGTGTGCCTACACTACCGACTTTCTCAAAACCTTCGGTTTGGGCCAATACACTCAATGTCATTTCACTCATTCCGTAGCCCTGGCGCAAAGCAAGAATATTCAAACGTGCTTTGACCGCATCACCAATTTCCTTGCTCAACGGTGCCGCTCCGCATCCAATTATAATGAGTGAGCTTACATCGTACTTATCGACCAATGGACTTTTGGCCAAAAATAGCAGTAGGGGTGGAACCAAAAATGCCGAATTGGTTTTGTACGTTTGAATCGTTCGCAGGAAAAGATGTTCTTCGAATTTCGGTAGGAATACAATTTCGGCACCGCACACAGACATACCGAGCATGGTTAGAAGGCCGTAGGCATGGAAACATGGAATCACCATTAAAATACTGAATCGACCCAGAAATGCTATCGCCTGCGCAATTGTAGCACTGCAAATTGAATATATCAAGCACCGAGATTGATAATCAATTGGAACATTTATCAAATTCCATGCTACTTACTTTAGTTGCGAAGTTCCAATCAATATATTGTATTGGGTCAGTTCGACACCTTTTGGTAAGCCAGTGGTACCTGTGAAGGAATGACAAGCATTGGTATCATTGGTTATCTTTTCATTTTTTTTTCTTCTAAAAATAGAATCGCATCGTACCTGACGAGCACAACACCAATGCAACATTATTTTTCATATCCACAGCCTTGCATTGGAACTGTAAGCATTCTTCAATCTAAAAAGAAAGCGTTAAATTTTTTAGCGAATTTCATTAAAAATGCACCGTAATGAAAACCTACTTTGACCGAACCAACCAGTTCGTCATACGATATTGTGAGTTTGCTGGTGAATTGTTTTCCCTTTTCACTCGACACCGAATCGATGAGTATAACTTTTTGTACAAATGAATTTTTCTCCGATACCTTAATGGCTCGCTTACTGACGGCTCTCGACGCAAAAATCAATTTTGGCCGCGATAAAGTGATGGCGTGATCAAATTCACCTGCGAAAAATATATAATAGCAATTAGCGACACGTTACATTTTCAGCAGTGGGAAAAAAATATGTTAGAGTATATTGTTAGGACCACTTACGATCGGTGTAAGTAACATTTAGCGGTGCTATAGTTGCGCCCAAGCAAAATGCAGCAAACACAATGACGGGGAATTCCAATCGATTTTCGCTGCATAACCCAATTACATCACCCTCTTTCACACCGTACACATTCGACAAGCTCTTCGCCAAACGTATGACCTTTTTCCGAGTCTCATGTCGTGCCAATTTTGTGTCAGTGACACCATCAATCTAAGAACATTAAACCAAAGTGAAAAGAAAACCAAAGGTAAATAAATAAAATCTGTCGAGTCATGCGGTAAAAGTTATTCACTATTTCATTAAGTTGATGTTTGTTTTGTCTTTCACCATTATACGATGCCGAACCGATTTATACTTACAAACATCACATCGTTTCCATTAGTGGCGAGCTTCTTCAGTATTACTTCGCCCAACGATTTTGATTCTTCATCAATTAACGGAGGTTCCGGTCCACCGTACAGAATATTCTTCTCATTATCATCGCCCATGTTCGTTTGCCTGTAGTAGAGAAGAGAAGGGAAAAAGAGAATTATACTTCAACTATATCACTTGATTAGATAAAGATTAGCGTCTTTCGTAATGGGTTCAATGAATTTGTACGGTGAATGTTTGGACGCAAAGAAAATGTACTCTGGCCAAGTTTCGAATGCTTAAGAGAGAAAGAAACAAATATTCTTCAATGATCGAAATAGCACTTGAAAAATCGTTTGAGCGTGACCCCACTTGAATTTGAAATATGAATATTTCTTTTCTTTTTGTCAGCTCAAAGCGAACTCAATTTAAAATTTAATGCAAAATGTTTATTTACTCGTATTTTTTTTTGTACTTGATAGACCTATCTATTATCTATATTTTAAGTAAATACCATAAAATGCCCGATTATCTTATTTTAATGTATGGTTGTATTGTTTTGAACTGTGCACTAGATCATTCTAAATGCGTGTAGGGAAAATTCGTTGAACAAAAATAAAAGAAAAATGCTGCACATTAAATGTGATGAGAAAACAATCGAAATTATTTCTGATTGTCCGCAATTTTGCCACTTTGCCCGTGAATTGTGGTGTTTAGACAATTTGCAAGTATAAAACTGGCGATTTTATAATTTTATTTTTGAATAATTTTCTGAACTGTAGACAATAGAGCACATTGTCGATTCCTGACTCGGCGAAATGATTTTACAACAATTTCTCAATTTTGTTTTGTTCGACGCAATTGAAATGCAAACAGAAAAAAATATATTTTTTGTTCTTCCAAGAAACCGACGCTTATGAGTCAATTCAAGCGATTCAAGAATATCTATACAAAAAAAAAGAGGAACTACTCTTCAAACATCTCAAAATGTAAATATGTTTTTAACTTAGGTAAACAAATCAGGGTTAAGACGTTCAAAAGCACCTCTTTCACTATTGTATGTTTCGTGTTTTACGTGCGTTTCGGTTGGAATTGAACAACAAATTGGTAAGAGTGTTCGATTCCTGGCTCACTTGCTCATTTTCGATACTGTTTTTTTTTCTCGTAACACCGTTTCATGCACAACTACGAACATATCAGTAATAATCCAATAATAAATACTTGGACAGACAACACTTAACGACTAAATTATGCGACGCGAATTGAAAAAATAAAGTGATACTTAATATATAGTATATTATTTTATGGAATGGAAATACATTGTACAATATTTAAAATACAAATGTGATGTTGTCATTAAGCGGATAGAGCGAATGAATCGCAAAAAAAGCAATATTATTGCTTTTTATTTCTCTTTCTCTCTCTCTCTGCAATGTCAATTAAAAACCGAAATACTGGGGAAATGGTTGAAAAAAAAAACAATTTGGAATTTATCACGTATAAATGATCTCTGTTTAATTACCGGATTCAATTTTATCGTAACTTTTGCGTCAATTTAAATTGATTGGAAAGTTCTGTTTAATTCATGTTCACCGCATAAAATTCAAGAATTGTTGGTAATGTTTGAATCATCACCAATAACTAGAAGCGTTAATCAGACATGTGCCGAACGTAACCAAGTCATTGTATGTTTGTATGCGAAGCAAAATGGGACCGTGCTATGTATAAGGCACCCAAAACATTAGTCTCATGACGCCATCACGTTTGTTTGCATTCAAAATTCGATGGCCGACAACACCCTGAGCTCATAGCGTCGATACACCAAAACACGGTCCTGCTACCACGAATCAATTCAACTACACACAAACACTCTTTGTTGACACTCTATCCGTGAGACGGTCAGATCACGCGATTTTCGGTTCATGCGCATGTATTTGTGCATGACTGTGTATCAAATGGCTGTGTATCGGGTGTCGAAGCATGTATGGTTGTGTGTAAACGTCATTCATAAATGGTAACATGTGAAATTTGGAATTAGCGCAATTGTTCAAAAGTTTTCTTGTTTTTATGTTTTATTTCCTTTTATGCTGGCATTTAATTCAAAGTAACAAAACATATTCTTGACCTACAGTTTTAAATGATGAAAAAATAGCCTAACATTTTCAAATATAATATATAATCAAAATGACCAATACTTAAAGATCGAACAGTGATAACTCGGAAATGATAAGATACTTGTGTTGACTTTGAATAAAAGAAACTCACCTTAAGAGTGCATTTCAACTGTTCAATAGAGTAATTATTTCATGCTTCTCGAGCTTTAAATGCCTTGTAGACAGACTTTGAGTTTTATACAATTTGTATTTATTGCGTGCAAACCACTTTTCGGTTTCCCTATTATTGCCGCTATTACATTTGTATATTCTAGGAAAAAAACACACTACGTCTATAATTTTGACTTGTGGTTTTTGATCATATCGCGTAAAACGCGCCGTAAAATTTTTCCACTCGGGTTTTTTGGTATGGCATCTATGAATTTGACTCCGCCGTGCAAACGTTTTGGATGTGATATACGCTCTTAAAATGGATTTTTCTTTGTGAATGACACTTGTTTTTCTCTTTTCATTGTTTGAAAAAAAAAATTACCTGCAACGTAGCGGATGACATCCATTTCGGTGATTTGTGCACTTGATTGTTTAACAATAAATGCAAATGCTAGGTCGCCGGCAAGTTCGTTGGGTATGCCAATCACAGCAGCGTCTTGGATGTTCGGATTAGTGAGTAAGAGTGCTTCGATTTCGGCCGGTGGCACTTGATATCCCTTGTATTTGATGAGCTCTTTAATTCGATCTATAACATACCATTCGCCATTTTCATCGTAGTATCCAATGTCTCCGGTATGAAGCCAACCATCTGCATCGACGGTGGCACTGGTGGCTTGTCTATTCCCAATATAGCCCTTCATAGTATTTGGACCTTTGAACTGAAGTTCACCCTCTTGTCTCACACCCAAATACTTGCCCGTGTCAACATCGACCACTCGCCCATAGATTCCCTTATACAAAACACCAACCGAACCATTTGTATGGTGATTATCATCTTGTGTGCAAAAAGCAAATGTCCCTTCTGACATACCGTAACCCTGTCTCACAATTTTGACTCCGATGCGTGTCTTCACTTCGATTTCAGTTTTTTTGCCAAGCGGTGCGGCTCCACAAATGATGACATGCAAGGAACTCAGATCGTATTTCGAAACTAACGGCGATTTCGCAAGTAGAACCATTATTGGTGGAACAAAAAACGCGGTATTTACTTTGTATGTCTGAAAAATGTCATCATGGCTTAGCAATATTTTCGCTTTTCTTTTCCTTGAACTTGAACAATTCGCTCGGGATAATGCCGTTATTTACCTGAATACATCGCAGAAAATCGTTTTCCACAAATCGCGGGAGTAAAATGGTTTTGTGGATTTCCGTTTCTCGAGCCAAGTAAGTGATCATGTAAATGACCATACCATATGCATGAAACAATGGAAGATTACCCAAAATGATCGGCTCTCCAGATGGTGGCATTTCATCACGATGCAAACGCCCACTGAAATTAATAGATTTTTTTTTGTCTTATCTTTGTCCTGCTCTTTGTGTGTCACAATTCTTGTGTCCAACTTACTGGAATTGAACGCTTGCAATGAAAAAGTTGAACTGAGTCGTTTGAACACCTTTAGGAAAGCCAGTCGTACCTTATGCGTGCGTATATGCATATTATTTTTGTCTTGTAAATGATTTCTTTTAAAAATATATACGATACCTGATGAGCATAAGATTGCAGCAACATTTTCCTTCATATTTTGTGGTTCACATTTAAAATCGTTGGGTCGTGAGTCGGTCTCAATGATTCGAATAAAAGATATTGGTGTTTGTTTTCCCGTCAAATTCATTGCCATGTCATTTGAATTATCATACAGAATGATTTGTTCGATAAATGAATTCTTTTTCGCAGCGGCCATAATTTTATCCAAATTCGATGGCGATACAAAAATTATTTTCGGCTTTGATAAGTTAATCGCATGATTCATCTCATCTAAAATTAGATTAATGTTTATGGTGGTATAATTAGTATTATCAGTAAAATGATTTGTTTTGAACAGTTCCAAGTGGAAACGTACTTTTGATATAGCTTTGATTAAGTGGAGCAATGGTTGCGCCGAGAAAAAGCGTTGCGTGTATGGTAATGGCAAATTCAATCCGGTTTTCACTGCAAATTGAAATAACATCACCGGATTTGATGTCAAATTTGTCTTTTAAATACCGTGCTACGCATATTGCTTTTGTTAATAACGTATGCGCGCTGATCTCTTCACCACTGATTCCATCCACCTGCAACATTATTCAATGGTACACATTTTTTTTTTTCGGGTGAGCGAATGATTAATTTTTGTTATTTTCCATGACGTTTGTGATGAGCAAATGATGTACACAAAAAATTTACCAATACAATTCGATGTCCAGATGCACGTAATTTATTCAGCAGAGCTTCACCCAGTGATTGAGCATTTAAACAAATTTCTTCGACCGGACCTTCGTATCCACCGTACAAAATATGTGTTATCGCGCTCATCTTGTGGATGACTGAACTGAATTTCTTTTTGGCAGATCTAATGAGAAATGATCACTGTTATCGTCGACAAATGACAAACTCACAGTGTGTTGATTATAATATACTCACGAGCGCTGATATGAAACACGCGAGCAAAAGGATTCCGTTTATCATGTAACAACGGCAGATAAACTATATTGGAATTGCATCATCTTCATGGTGGTGAAATTCAAGGTCAACATTATTTTGTGGTCAAAATTTGAATAAAATTGCATTTCTACCATGAACATTTCGAACGACGCGCCATTGCATTATGTGTTAGGCTAGTCCCAAATAAATGCGGTGTCTCATTGAATTTTACTGTTGAAACTTTTAGATGGATGAAACGACGAACACAACAAAGTCAAACGTTAAACGACGATACGTGTGTATGTGTGTGTGGTGTGCACACATAAAAACTAAACGAAAAAATCCAATCGACCGGAACGAGATGAATATATGTGTTCATAAATCACACATCTGTTTGGTTCAAGCTGTCGCACGAAAGAGAACGACATCAGCTCATGCCCGAATCGGTATTTTACGCACACAAACACACGTACACACGCACATACACTGCGATGCATACGCTTGTGAACACACAGTGTACAAACGGCATGGATCTTTCACACTGTCTTTCTCTGTCTCCTATGCACAAACGAACCATACGCGCTTTGTCCAATCTAACGAAATCAAGCGGATAGAATGAAATAAAGGCCAAAATTTGTATACAATCTTCACTATTTTTACACGACTTCATTGTTGTTGTTTTCGTTTGGGTTTGGAGTGGCAAACGTGAATTTATATTAAAATAAATAAGTTGGCTTGTTATTACACCAAGTGCTACTTCTACGAACGTGAAAAAATACACAGAGAGAGAGATAGAGAGAGAGAGAGAGAGAAAAACGACCGAGCAACGAAGAAAGAAGAAATAGCAGCGAACAGAAATAAACAAAAGAAACAATTTATACACAAACAGAGAAAGACATATAAACAACCGAACAAGAAGAAATGGTCCGTTATTAGTGTGTCGTCATTGATTTGATTGTCTTTTATTCGGGCTCAGGCATTATCAATTTTGCATTTTAAACGCAGAGCATTCCAAACGGTGTGCGATTTTTTCTTCTTCTTCTGTTCATTGAAAGTTTAACGTGAAAAAGAAGAAGAAGAGGACGACGACAGAAAGAACGAGAAAAAAGTGAAGCAATGTGAACAGAACTAAGGCAAAATTGACACCGAAGAAGCCAATTCCAATTTTGCCGAATCGAATGACAATACCAGAGACATTTATTTAACTTGAACCAAATCAACGCGACAGATAGTTTTTCTTTTTCGGTTAACAAGCCAAGAAATCGGAGCAGAGTGAAAGATATATATCGGTGAAACTAATTCGTTGTGCATATCGTGTTCGAACAAATAATTGTACGGTTTCTTTTCCAAATCGTCGTCGTCTTTGTGTGGCAACAAATTTGCTTAAACTATTTGGAATTCTGTGTGTGACTGTGTGTTTGCTCGCGGTCTGCGTATATATTTTATCACTCCGGATTTTTTTTGTTCATTTCTTTTCTTAATAGTACATTCGAAAAATAAACGGTTTACTGGCTAGCTACACATCATCACATAACTCAATACATCGTATAAGCCAGTAGCGATTCAGACAATCGATTCTAGTTGACGTCGTTAGACGAAGCACCGATTCAATTTTCAGTGAATAAAAAAAAAGCAGAGACAACACAGTGTCAAAATGTCTGGTAATAATTTGAGTGTTGACGGTGAACTACGATACATAATACAATGGTTCAACGAGTGGAGTGAATTGCAACGAGAGGATTTTCTGCCCATTGTTGTCGAATATTTGACAAAAGATCGAGGAGCACTGCACATGAACGGTGTGGTCAACAGTTTATCGGCCGCATCATTTGAAGAAAAACCCATGAGCCTGTTCCAATGTCGTGTAAGTTTATTCTATATAAAGTTGTTCACACAATTTTCATACAATTTTTAACGATCATTATAATGATCGATCAAGTGTCTCAAATGGTATTGACCAATCTAATTATGATTCAATCTGGTTTCAGGTGAAATTGTTCAAAGAATGGAGTGCAAAGTGGCCGGAAGACAACAAAATCAAGTTGAAGGAGAAAATTTGCGAAATTGATGGCAGTTTCGGTGAAAAATTGAATCAAGAAATTTTGAATGGTTATTCAAATGGCAACGGTACATCGGGCTCATCAACACCAACCGATCAAGCACCGCCAATTGCTGAGCTACAAAATGAAGCGATTGTCGCCTAAGTGCGCCCCGGCCTACAAAACAACTCATCGAGTGAGAGCATCACGTGAAATGTCCATTCAATCATTGAAAAAAAAAAATTCTATTTCTTTGTTGAAGCAACAAAATGATGTTGAGTAAGGGAGAAAGAGATGAAAGACAGAGAGAATGAGCTAACGCATGCCGTCAAAGTAACTTCCAATCGTCATTCCAATATTAAATTTTTCTTTATACTTATCGCAATAGTTTTTAAAATGCCACACGATATCGTAATTAACGTTTCGGAACTAAGCAAACAAGCTCATTATTACGTTATATGCATGCAAGATAAATCTAGTAATGGTAATTAATTTACCGAAAATAATTTACATACGCCATGCAATTTAGGAGAGAAAAAAATAAGTAGAAGAAGAAGAAGGGAAAAAAAATCATACGAAGCGATAGAAAGAAAAGAAAAATAGAAAACACATAAAATGCAATGCCGTCTCAAATCAAATATAGGAATAATTAAGAGGAAAGTGCTGCACTTGCACCTGCACTCATTACAAGATGAGCACACGCTTCGTTTTTTTTCTCTTGAAATATTAATTTTTTTTTTTCGCTCACAACATTTTGTTTAATCTACTTTCTTTTTGGGGCAAACGATTAAACAAAACCATGCATATACAAATTCAATCGAAGGCACACGCGCGCATGCAGCGAATGCTGTGTGCAAAGCGACCTGTCTTCAACGTCATTGTTACATTTTTCTTTCTTTCTCTCAATTGTTATGCAGATGGCATGTGAAATCCTCTTCAATATGCATATTTTCTACTTCGAACAACAGTTTCGTCATTTAAAAAGCCAACGAAGAGAGAAAGATAGAGAGACTCGTGCAAGCACAGATTATTTCTATTCATTTCGATTCATTCGGTTGAATCCGAAGACATATCTTTCTCCGTATAACTCAGAAATATCCAACGCAAGTTCACCTCTGTAAACCGCACACCAATAAACAATTATCTTGAGCACGTAGATAGTAGAGTCGGTATAGAATATCGAAATCGGCGTATAATCCATAATATTAACACCTTTGGTGTTTGGAAAAGTCACCCACTCATGAAACTCATTCATTTTGCGTCGACTTTTTTTTCTAATGGAATGCGTTCGCGTGACAAATGTTCCGTTCACACCTCTATTTTTTTTTTTATATAGTTTCTTCTTCATTTTACTGAAACACAACTACGGAATACCAGATGAACGTTAGATTTTCATGCAGTTTGTAATGTGCCAAAAATGGTAATAGCAACATGCTTTTCCCAGTTTTCAAATCGTCAAACAATTAGAAACACAAACAAACAAACTAAAAACACATAGCAAAGCCAATAGCAACAGAAACAGGAACAACTTATCAACAACTCGGTTTTTTTTCCTTAATTTATTCTGTATTTATTATTCACGAGTTTTTTTTCTCTTAGTATTTAGTTATACTACTCTTTTTTTCTCTCTTGAGATACGAAATTGTCTAGATACCATTTAAAAGAATGAAAAATCCGCACAATTTATTGAATATATAATCAAAATAGTTTTACTGTACTATTGGAATATAAACATTTTTTTAAAAATAAATAAATATAAATTTTTAATCAGATTTTATAATAAATCAATTCAATCGTGTGTTTCTCTCATTTTTTATGTTTCAAATTGAAAAAGAAAAAAACCGTTAAAATAATCCCAAAGTTATGCAATCGTCACATGTTGTCTGGTTACTTTGCTACTGTGTTTCCCCTTTGTATGAAGAGGGGAACTTATGTACAAGTCAATAATTTCTTTATGAAGACAAGAATTCAACGATTAAGGTAAGTCAACAATTAAGGTAAGAAAAATCCCCAACGCTAAGCTAAAGCTTGGATGAAATTTGTCATTGTCGTCGGGATCATTTTATATTTAGATTGGCATAAGAAGTTATTAGTTTAGGTGTTCTTCACCGTTCTGTTTTTTGAATAAACATCGTAAATTAGTGACAAACGGCTAATACTTTCTATCTACTTGGCAACTGGTGGTCAAAGTTCTTTCGAAGCGTTTTCTCTTTTTTGTAATTCTAAGTTAATAGGTGAACCTGTTGATAAAAAGTTAAATGTCTCTGTTTCATCATCATGGATTGCATGACAGTAATCGATTACCGATCAACGGTATGGAATTTGCCGATGAAGACGGCAAAAAATAAATTAGAATAAAAAGAATAAAAGTAAAAATAAATTAACCACAAAACGAAAAAAAAAATGCCAAATTTCTATCAAAGGAAATAACAAAATTGAAATCGAACGGCCGCAACATCTAGAATTCAACCTTTGAGCTGAAGAATTTTTTGTTTGTTATCAGAATGAAAGTTATTCGATGTGATTAAACCAAATTTTATGCGTTACAAAGTAAATTTCCATGAGATCTATTTTAAATGAGTACAAGAAACTCCATTTCTAAATATATGCTAATTGGGTTGCTCAATCTAAAATGTGTTTGATGTGCAAACGGTTTGTTGTTGTTGCGATATGGTGATGACGTCAAAGAGAAATAGGAGCCAGCCAAACAAATGTGCAGCGAATCTCTTTTACTTCTTCTTCTTCTTCAACTTTTAACATTCATTCTGGTTTAGCTTCAAATGAAGATTGCCGTAAAGCAGGCCTCTGTGCAAGAAAACGGCACAATGGAAAAAAAAATGTATACGATCTAATCACAATAATTTCACCAACACGGTCTTTGCGTCATAAGTTGTGGTCAAAGCGGTGGCTATTTTTAAACTCAAAAGGAGAAAACAAACGACAATTATTCGCAACGACTACCTCATCGAGCGATATTGAAAGAATGGAACTAAATGTGACCATTGTCATAGCATATCCCTGGCAATCAAACTGTGTATATATTTACAGCTCTTTTTTTATTTTTAAATTTCGAACAAAAAAAAACTTGTTCGCTAACAACGTTGAAACACCATTGGTCTATTTTGAATAGCAAAGAGACAAACCATGTTTACCATTTGATGAAAATCATGATGAATGATCGTTGATGTTAATTTGTCTAATCTAAGTCTTGTGCATTTTGTGCGTTTTAAATTTAGCATCCTATTCAGAACGAAACCTCGTACAGTTGAGACATTCTTGAGCTCAAATGCTTAAGAAAATGCCATTCAGAGCATTTGGTCTATTAGTGGCTAGAGATTAAGACCGACGTACAGTTTTGACCAACAATAAATTTTTCGACACCACTTCAACTTTTACCAAAAGTCATTTCGAGAGAACAATGAACTATGCGGCTATTTTTATAGTCAAACAAATGACATGTATTTTAAATGGGATTATCGTTTCTGCTGCGTATCGACCTGCGTCAAATTGGTTAGCTGACGTCCATGCTAATCAATCAGCGTTTTTCTCGCTCTTTAGTTGAAAATTACCAAAAATTTGATTAATCATTGAAATTTCTCGGATGCGGCCAATTTTTAATGAAATCGATCGCAGTTCAATGAATTTCTAATTTATTTCGAAATGGATTTGGTCAATCGTGGTGAATGATTCATTCAACTAAATATGTTGGAATTTTTACTGGGATCGATTCGATCGAAAATAATCATTTCCGATTCGCTAGACAGAAAAAAACACATTCGGCTCAGGAAGATTCATTGGAATGTCATCGTTCTGAAATTAATTTAATTTCGTACAATGGACCGAGAAGAGGGGAAAAAATCAAATTAAAATAGGTAATAATATGCGCAATGCGATTACAATCGCAACACGATGATTCGTTGCGAGTGTTCACTTAATGCATTACTGATACAAAAACCTATAAACATTCAATTTAAAAAACACATACACACACACACACACCCATGTCGTTTTTCCTCTCTTTTTCCATCTCACATAAAATGGTTTGCGCGCGTTCAATGATCTGATCCTTTCGATCAGTGCACGCATTTTATTTCGCTTGTCTTCAATTACCGCAGTTCAGTTGGCATGAAAAACAACATCACACAAAAAAAAAACACAAACATCACACTACAGAATGAATCAACTATGGCGAGCATTCACATTTCCACTTGATACAACCGGCAAATAGTTTTGCACACACTTCAAAACCGCTGCATCATTTTGCGATACACACAAATTAATACGCAGTTTTGAACATGCCATGCTTTTGTTTACAATAATAAGTGGAAACGATTTGTGTGCCAGTTCGAACAGCGAAACTGAAAAATCGGTTTATAATATGAAACAAAATAAGTGTGAAACCGTTTTTTAAAAGACGCGTTCGTTTGTTTTTTTTGCTCATTTTTTAAATGTTAATGATGTGGTTGCAACCAGTTCTTGGTGTATCTCGTCAATCAAAGCGAGAGCGTAGAAGAATAGATACACACCGTACGCTAATAAGTACAATGATAGTTCGAAAATGAGCATAACATTAACGCTGAATACAACTGAACTACTGGATTACATGCTAAAATCGCTCCTTGCGTCTCTGGATTACATGCTAAAATCTTTTCATTTATGACATTTTTAAATGAATTAAATTGCATTTTTCGTAACGATTTCGGATGTTCAAAGATGCCAATTTATTTATAAATGCAATAATTAATACGTTGACATGAAAATAACCTAAGTAAACCCCCGAAATCACACAGGATATGTGCCAAGACAGTCATTTGTTTGTGTATACAGATCGATCTAAATGATTGGCCGAAAAATAATGGAGTAGTTGCTACCACAAACAAAACAAATTGTGTTCGTTAGGCAAAACGAATGAGAGAGAGAGAGAGAGAGATGGAAAAACACAACAATACACAGTGTCACACGAACGACCACTTGAAATGGGAAAGCAACATGCGCCGCAACAAGAGACAAGACAAGAAGGAAAAACCATAAGCAACATAAACGACAACAAATACACAACAGTGATATAGTATTAAAGTGGATTGCGCATCACAGAGAAAAAAAAGGCGAGCGAGTCAACGCCACTGGATCCACACACGCTCAATATGGACCTGAAGCACTTTATAAATTGAAAACAGTTTGAACTCATCACGCGCCCGGTAAAGAAGTCCAAGAGAGACCAAGAAGCTTATAAAACAAAAAATCAACCACAGAAACAGCAACAGATCGCGCACCAATTTTTAATTGGATTCCAACACCGAAAACAACAGACAGTGTGCGGCCAAGCGTCAATTGCATTTTATGATTTACATTCGTTATTAATGAAGTGATCACAACAATATCATTTTGAATAATAAAGCTGCACTTTTATTGAGCATTTCATAAACACACACACACACACACACACACATACATTGGACTAAATGTCTTTGAAAAATCGAAAGCGTTGATGGTTTTAATGTTAATGTGCGATTGCGTTCTAATTAAGCTACTTATTTTCGAGCGTCAATTAAAAAGACATAGACTTTTCATTTAGCTAAATGTTATCGTTGAATTGGTGACCTTTGTTTTTGCATCATATTCGAACGTATGAGTTACTATTTTGCTCATTGAAGTTTAAACTTTCCATAGAACAAAGTTATGTGTTTAAGTCGTGCACGAGATACAATCTAAAAAAAAAACAAACTGATCGGAAGAAGAAAAGTGTTTGGATTTTGAAAAGTGAACAGGGAAAATAGACAGTGAAAATTTTCAACGAAAATTATAGCTGAATCTCTACGATGTATACATTAAAGTTTGATCATATGGTTTGCGTTTGTCTTCTTGTCCTCGCCTTGACCGGTAAGTTTGAGATTATTCGGGGGGATTTTCAGAAAGACAGATCAACAACACAAGAATAACAACAACAAACGAAAGAATAACAAACAAATCGATCGTTCGTTCGTTTGGCAAAACATGTTTGTGCGCTGAGTCAAATCAATTTTGGATACACACGCCATAGGCATTACAGTGTTTCGTCTAATCTGAATTTTATCGAATTTATTCATGTGATTCCGAATAAAGTGATTAGAATTTTTACCGTAAATTCCAATGTTGGGTTTGATTCCACGATGAGTCACGGTATTACAAATGAAAATGCATATCTTTATTAATGAATTCCTTTTAATTTGACAGTGTCGAGTGCGTATCCATGGGGTCCCGATTATTATTACGATGACACACCATACTATTTTGATGCAGACGAGCAGTCCGATCTGAATCACTTTAAACTTCCGACATTTCAACCATCATCACAATGTAACTGTATTAAATTGAAAGAATGTACAACGATTACGATGCGATTGCATGCGGCACCAAAACCACTGTCTTCGAACCTTATGAAGGACATACGAAAGAAAGCTTGCGGTTTTGCTGGCATTGATCCGCTGGTGTGTTGTCCATCGGCAGAAGTTTTACCACGAAGTTTTCGTGAAGTAACAACTGAAAAGCCTTGGATTTGGGATGTTAGCCAAACGAAAGCAATGAAAACAAAACCAACAAATCTCTACAATCGTTTTAATTCCGATATCAACAATTCGGGTCATCAAAATATTCCATCACGGCCAAATGATTTAAACACACGCCGAAAGCCTGATAAGAATTTCTATACGCGTAAAACGAAAAAATATCACTTTTTCGACTTTGAGGATCCGCGCACATTTCGCAATTGGTAAATTCTTCGTTTTTCTTCTTCTTCTTCGTTTTTAGTTGCAATTCTCACTCATGTGTCTATTTTATAGTCCACCAAGTTTCTCTCCCGATTTTCACATCCCGCCAAACTTTCAACACGTAAAGCCAATCAAGAATTTCCATCACATATCCAGTGAGCCTAGTGACTTTGATTTGAACAGTGTTGACAATGATTCCGGCTTTATATTCCCTGATTCACCAATTCCGAGCGGTCAAGTGCCAACGTTTCCATCGCGAGTCGCGAAATATCCATTGGAAAAATTGAACATGATCAATGCGGAAAATTGTGGCATTTCAATAAATTCCCGTATTATTGGCGGTGATGACGCCGTGCCTGGCCAGTTTCCATGGTAATTTATCGCTTTAAATGTGTATAAAAAAAATTGTCACATGCTTATCCACTGAATTCGATTCAATTTCTTTTGTTCTCTCTTTCTCTCTCCCGCAGGATGGCTCGACTCGCTTACCGCAATCGAAGTAACTGTCGTTTTTTATGAATAAATCGCAAAGGAATCGCAAATAAAATTGCTGATTATTTTTGTTTTCGGTTTTATTCTAGCATCACAACTGGTTTCATATCGATGTTCAGGTTCCGTAATAAGCAACAAATATGTTTTAACGGCTGCTCATTGTGTGACTAACCTAGTGGACGATCTCGAATTGTACGTATATTGCTTGAATTTATTTCCAATTTGTTGTGTTGTGATCTTGGCGTTCGAAAAATGTTCATGTTTTATACTATTGCTAACCAAATAATCAAATTAATCAAATTGATCGATTCAATTTCTAGGGTGTTTGTGAGGCTGGGTGAATTGGATTCGAGAAATAATTTATGTGATAATAACCGCGATTTATGCACCGAACCACAAGACTATGAAATCGAATCAATTGTGCATCACACAAACTATGATATGCCTAAATACGCAAACGACATAGCGTTGATTCGCTTACGTCAAACAACAAATTCAAGTATGCATCAAATCCCGTTTGAGAATCTATTTATAACTATTCAATAAATGTTATTATTAAATTTGAACATTTGCAGCTTTTGTCAGTCCATTGTGTTTGCCATTGGGAAGTTATGAATCAACGGACAAAAATTTAAATCAGAAAACGGGCATCGTTGCAGGATGGGGAATTTCGACATTAGGTTTGTTGCATATTTAATGCAGTTTTTTTTCTGTTTTGAATTGAATTGGTTCAAATCAATATTTCGATAGACCATTTGTGAAAAAGCATTCGTGTGAATAATCGTCACGCTTTTTTTTTATTATGGGAAAAGTGAATTCAAATACCTGATTTATAAATTTCAGGCGGTGCCACATCCAGTCCAATGCTGCAGTATTTGCAATTGCCAATTGTTGACACACGATCATGCGCAGATTCGTACGCTCGATTTAGCGCCAATTCGCGTACACCGATCATAATTAACGAAAGCCAATTATGTGCTCAAGGAACGGCCAATCGTGACGCATGCCAAGGTATTACATTCAGAAGTGTTTTTGAAGCAAACGGAATAATATATTTTTTTAAATTTAATTCCAGGCGACTCCGGTGGACCCATGATGCGAGAAGATGTTCGAACTGGTCGTTATGTGCTAGTTGGATTGGTGTCATTCGGCCCACGAACATGTGGAGTTTCCCAGTTCCCTGGCGTTTATTCGCGTACTTCATCGCATTTGGACTGGATTTTGAATAATATACAGCTGTGATTCGTCTTACTTGCTTAACGTTTAAGTGTTACAAATTGTGTGTTGCCTATGAGCCACACATCACATGGCAGAATCGCATGTAAATATACTGGATAGACACAAATCACCTCAACACATTTCAACTCACGAAAAACAATTGTCAAAATGAATTGGCAAATATATTTAAGTTTTGGCACTGTTTTGTGTATCATCGATTGATAACACACAGTGTACGCGTCACAACTTTTAGGCTAAGTTTCTAATTAAGTTCAGAGAAAAAAATATTCATTTCATCACACCACATTCATTCCATTTTTGCTACGAACATTTTTTTTATACGGCAATTTTTGGGTGTGTATGTGTTAAGATATTCCATGACTAATTGCTGCGAAATCAATTTGAGATTGTATTTTCTGTTTGTAATTTGCTCTCTAAAAACTTCCATTTTTTTAGTAAGTATAATGATGTCGTTATAATATTTATTGCGAGCGTGATAGATTTTTTTTTTGTAAATAAAATTCATTTCCTATGAAACAAATTCGATTTGTGATATTAAAATCGGATCGGCCTCATTATAAAAAGAAACCACGAACATATGATTTACATTTGCCTATAGAGAAAAAGGCAAATTCTGTTGGGTATTTGAAGTCGAAACATCTGTGGTGTGATTTTCTTTCGTGGAAAATGTTCAAATACATAGTTCTTTATTATTTTTGCTGTACCTTGGCCATCGAAGGGTATACAGATTTTCGACTTCACAAAAACTGGCCAAAAGACATGGACGAAATTTGCGGTGAATTATCACAGGATCGCATTATCGGTGGCAAATTTGCCAATCTCGGACAATATCCATGGCTAGTTCTACTAATATATAAGCATAAGCCTAAAAATGGTAATGGTTTTATATGGCACATTTCCGCAAACGGTTAATGTGTATAAATCCAATCATTCATTTTGAATTTAAGGTCCTGAATATATATCGCCTGATTGTGGTGGATCATTGATAGCCTCGTCTTATGTGCTTTCGGCGGCTCATTGTAATGCAAATCCCATTACTGTACTGTGAGTAAATAGAATGCACCACTTTTGCTCCAATTATAGGATTTAGATGAAGGTGAACTTGAAATTGATTATTTTTCTTTGGAAAATCCAATTTTCCCCGAAGCGATCATGCTGTCTTGGGCGAATATAATACAAAAACGGATCCTGATTGTGACACAGCCGGAAATTGTGCCGCACCAGTACAACGTATCAAACCCGCCCATATATTTACGCACAAACTTTTTCAATTAGATCAGCTTTGGAATGACATTAGTGTAATAAAATTAGAACATCCGGTAAAATTGAATGGTAACCGAATTTCATTCCGAAGAATAGCAGACGATCATTTCAGTTAAAATTACATTCGAGTTTTGTTTTTCTTCTCGTATTAAGGATGGGTCATACCAATTTGTTTGCCAACGGGAAATGAACAATTCGACACAACAGCCGAAGTAGGTAAATTAACCGCGAATGTTTACGTTTTCAATGGATTCACTCAAATTTTCCATAATAAATCTATATTAGCTGGATGGGGTATGGCCAGGCCAGAGGACGAATTAACACTGCAATCGGTGTTGAACTATGTACAGGTAGAATTTATAACGAAATCACTTTTCAGTTTTTTACACATCACATTCTGAATAAATAATTGCAAACAGTTGCCAATTCTGGACATGGATGTATGCCGTATGTACTTTGATTTGATTGTTAATGGTACTAAGCAGATTTGTGCCGGCAGTGTAGATAGATATGAAGGTATCTAGACGTCTCAAATTATTATTATTCCGATCAATTATTCTTCTATTTACTTCAAATAATCCTTACTCTTTCGTGGTCTCGTTCAGATACATGTGGAGGAGACAGTGGCGGTCCATTGTGAGCATGAAGTGTCTTCATGATTTTGGTCAATGAACAAATGATTGAATTTGTTTTTTTCTGTACTCATTTTGCAGGATGCAAATTTCGAATAGTGATTCTGGTCCGAGATACTATCAAGCCGGAATTGTTTCTTTTGGACTGACAGATTGTGGTGTTGCACCCGCTGTTTACACAAGATTGACAACTTTCATGAGCTTCATCTTGGATGTAATTGGTGCATAAAAAGTATTTCTGTTGGAAATAAATTGTTCAGAAGACTATTTAATTATAACGAAATTAGAGTATTTTATTGGAAAACTAAATCTAATGCCAGCGTGTAAAGATTATTAGCTGACAATTTAATAATATACATTGTAATTGGTGCAATTGAATGCGATACCACTAGAAGTGTACACGATTTTTATATGGATTTTGCATCAATGAAATGGGCAAAGAACCGAGATCGCGTGTTTTATCACAACTATTGTGCGGTCTGTTCAAACGAGAAATGGTTTTTCACATTTGCCTTGCGGAAAGCACAATGTACTTGGCGGTCAACAAAAAAATAACCTGACTGCATGTAATACTTTGCAGACGCTGGTGGTTACATCTTTATTCACGCTGTTGAATTCGAAAAGAATAAACCGGAATGTAAAGGAATAGTAAAAACACAGACGATATGACACATTTAATTGTTGGTGCGGTAAATCCCCCAATCATGCGACTATGTATCATCATCTCGTCTGTTTTGCGTTGAAATTGATTTCATGTGTGGCTCCAAACATCGATCCATACATCTGCACACCATGGCCAGCCTGACTGTTTTTACACGTTTTACGAGAGAAAAAAAAAAATCTGTGTAAAACTCTCACAAAATTAATATTCGTCTAACATGTATAATCTTATGCAAAAGAAGTAAAAATGAAATGAGCATATTCTGATGCTTTGATGGACATGAACAAATTCGAACGGAGCTAGGAATTAAGATGATGGTTCTCGGTGCTTGATATATAAATCATGTGTATGTGTATATGTGTACATAGTGTGTGATAACCTGAAACCATTCGGTTGTGATATGTTCTAATGATGAGATTTTTTAGTCGGACCTTGAACGAGATTATAAAAATAACAAACAGCACATCTATATCGATACGAGTGACGTATGTATGCGTGTAACTTGAAGTTCGAAATGAAATTCTGGCCGCAAAAGTCCAATGCCAGGTTTTGTGTGTATTCGATCGAGTTACCTTTGGCTTTTGATAGCGATGTGTTATGGCGAGAGAGTAGAGGAAAAAAAAATAAATAGCTTACGAAATAAAAAGTTGCCAACAACAACAACAACAAGAGCAACGATTACGACGTCAACGACGGCAACGACAACAATACACAAGCAGACCAGTATACACGGATGTTGGGTCGCAGCAGCCACGGTTATATGGCTATAACCGAACAAAAACCATATATTCCAACCAAATAACACTCACACAACCAGAGCACACCAAATCAATGCGAATTCTATGTACACATAACGCACACCAACTACACTAATGTCAATATGTGCGGCCGAGCCACACCGCTCTACACGCAACTTCCACAACAGCCTCAATGTGAGACACGAAAATATACATATGTTATATACAGTAAACAACCAGATTCAACACTCAAATAAAACTGAATGAACAAAAATGTGTTGAAGAAGAAAGAAAAAAAAAGCACAACACAAATTGTAAGAAATAAAATATCACACACAGAAGTTTGTGTATCTTCAGCACAATGATTATACACTGGACAACATTTTGAGTTAGATTTAACATATAGTTCGATTCAAAATACGGAATCGTTAAGATCAAACGGAACGAACATCGACGACACCGACGGCAACGACAACAATCGTGCAAGTTATACCCCGTTAAACAGGCGATAGCCTACAGTGTAAGCGATAGTGATAGCGACAGCAATACACCGTATATACATTGAAATTAAACAAAGATCAAACTATTTAACTGGAAATAAAAAAAAATAACGACAACAATATCATCATCGCGCATCTTCTCTATAATCAATTGCAAAATTCTCATCTCAAACGTATCATTTCGGTACTTTCCGTCTACGTATCAAGCATTCTAGTACACATTGTGATTGCATGTGTTTATGCGTTGGAAATTCGTTAACCGCTCTTTTCTATCTTCTTCTTTTTATTTTTGTTCTCTCTCTCTCTCTCTCTCTCTCTCTCTTTTGTTAAGTTCCGAAAATTTGGTGCATTTACGGTCACACAGTGATTGATACGAACTCAAGCTGAGTGTTCAGTTCGAAACGAATCAATTTTTTTCAAAAGAAAGAAAAAAATTCGAAAAAAAACAATGCAGAATTACATTCAATTGTTATTCTTACTAGTGTGCTATATTAGTTTAGCAAATGCACGTAAGTAATATAAAAGTGTATTAAATTTTATTTAAAAAAAATTGTGAATAAAGTGAATGTTATGTGTGATATATGATGTTGGGACGATTAACAGAATAAAATTAAATGAAACAAAGAACAGATTGAATCACATAAAACATCAGCAAATGTGCAAACGTCAAAAGTGTTAAATGTAAATTTTGTGTATCATATAAATGTTGTCAACTGTCTGAATCATGAGCTTGTTAATTACTCGTTGGGGTTGATAATGAACATTTCAAGTAATACACAGACCACATTTGGTGCCATCGACACTATGATAAACGATTAGACAATCATTAGTTGCCCTTGACATATGAAACAAACTGAATAATAAGCAAGAGCGTAATGAATCGACTCATTGGAATAGTTATTTTTCCCAACGATTTGTTCGTTTTTTTTCTTCTTTTCTTCTCTCGTCTTTTCAACAATTCCCGACGATCAGTTCATAAGCAAACTATTTTTGCAACACAGAAGAACAACAACAGTTAATAAAATATCTAAAATGAAAGAATAATCTGAGTGGAGTCATTGTTGTTGTTGTTGTTGTTATTGTTGTTGCATCGTCTGTTGTGTAAAACCGGTAAAACACCACCAAAACAATGTTCACCTATTTGTGTGTTTGCAATTCAAATATGTATATGCGTATTTTCAATCGGTTGCCGTTCTCATTTTCGCAAGCAAGTCTTTTGATCGATAATAAGAGAAATTTCTCGGAATGGACGAAAACAAAAAATCGCCACTTCATACACGATCTTCTTATGAAATTATTTCCAGTTTTACATTTTTTTTGCGTTGAACATTTCGATTATTAACGTTTGGCAAACGAATGAAATGTTCCAAAACAACATTCAAAATAGATTGAGTTGAGATAATGTACTCGCCTGGAATCGAAATCGGTTCGTCTCTTTTTGACATATTCATAAATCACACTTGCAAGACATCTTCGCGACGTGTCTTCTCTTCGGTCAATGTGATAGTGGTCGAATCAATTGACATACACTTATATATTTATAAAAAAAACATGTTTTTTTTTCTTCGAGTATTTGCATTCGACTTATGAACAAACAAACCAAAAAAAAAAAACAGCGAACAAATGAGCGCGTTCTCCTGGAAAACAGTTCACATTGATAATCACATTTTTCATATTGTACACAAATTTAAACGTATAATTAATCTGGATTTTCCCACAATTAGAATTTCAGTGTCTAACGCCGGATCAAAGACGCGGCTTCTGTGTCGATTTACGTCAATGTGCTAGTCTTTATAATTTGATCCGAAAACCAAACCTTTCGATTGCCGAACGAAATTTTCTACGCAATAGCCAATGCGCTTACAATGGATACCCTTGGGTAATGTAGCAATTTCAGAATTTCCATTGGATTTCAACATAAAAACCGGAATTTCAATAACATGACACATTTCGTTGGTTTTCAATTAGGTTTGCTGTCCACCAAATAGCGGTCCACAGCAACCACCACCAACCCAGCCACCATTTGTTAATACTCCTCGCCCCGTACAAGGCGGTCCTGGATTGAGTGTCAATGATTTGCCGCCACCCGGCACTTGCGGCAGTTCATTGGACGATCGTATCATTGGTGGTGAAGAAACTAGAATAACTGATTATCCCTGGATGGTAAGTAAAAATTTTATTCAGAATTTCTGTATATTCAATATTGAAAGCAGAATTTTGATAACATGAACGTTTCGTTTTTCATTTAGGTCCTGATCGAATACTCAAAACGTAATAGAATTCATCCTTTTTCGAGATATCATGAAATTATGAAAAATGACTCCCAAGCCATTTGAATGCAATAGATTCACTAAAATTCCGAAAAAAAATTCTTATCACACTTTTAGCGAATGGCAACAAAGGCTTCCACTGTGGTGGTGTTCTCATCAATAAAGACTATGTTTTGACAGGTAGATACACAGACTGAACCGTGTTTGCAAACAATTTTATAAAATAATTCATTCTATTTATCAAATTTAGCATCACATTGTGTCAATGGCAAAGATTTAACTCAACTCAGATGGACGTTATCAGGTTTGAAATGAACTGAAATTGAAACGAAAACATTGAATGAATGAATGAATGATAATTTTGTTGTAATGTGTAACGTATTATCTTTGTTCTAATTCAAAGGTGTTCGACTTGGTGAATGGGATTTGAAAGAAGACCGAGATTGTGACGATGGCAATTGCTCAGATCCAGTCCTTGATATTCCAGTGGTAGAACGTATCCCACATGAAAACTATAATCCCAACTCACGGGCACAGGAGAACGACATTGCACTACTTCGTTTGGGACGGTCGATTACATTTACTGAATGGGTCAAACCTATTTGCCTTCCAGTTACATCAAATGTTGCTGGCAAAAGCTATGATGGTGAGCCACTAATTGTGGCTGGATGGGGTAAAACTGAGAACTCTTCCAACAGTAATATTAAATTGAAGGTCGAAGTTGATGGTGTTCCAATCAAACAATGTAACAATGTGTATCGTCAACAAAATGTCGTTTTGACCAACAAGCAATTGTGTGCTGGAGGTGTATTGGGAAAAGATTCATGTCGAGGTGCGTAATTAAAATGCCAATAAATTTTCGTATCTCAATTAATGTGTTTTAATCCAAAAATAGGCGACTCTGGAGGACCTTTGATGACAAAACACGCAGCAGATCCATACCATACGTATTACTACTTGGCTGCAGTGGTTTCATTTGGACCGTCACCATGTGGTCTTGAAGGATGGCCGGGCGTTTACACCGTACGTTTGAAACTTTTTAAGTCATTTTATTTTTCTCGCTTAAATCACAGCTCTCGCAACCATTACTTAATTTGAAATATTTCTGTTTATTTTTGTTCATTTCAACAGAGAGTTGATCAGTACACCGATTGGATATTGTCGCATATGCGAGCATAAAAATCGATAACAACTGCACTCAGAGGATCGAACCCTGCAAAATTTATTAATTCCCTGCATTTTATTATGTGACTCGAACGTTTCAACTCAAACCTAGATGAAATGAACTTAGGACAACTTTTTTTTTTCTACTAAATAAAAATTATCAAAATAAAGTGCCACTTTTGAACATTGTATGTCAAAGTTTAAATTTCTTTCTGTCTTTCGCCCAAGGTCTAAGAATCTTCGCTTAATACTAAAATTGATGATAGTGCACTGTGAGAATTGAACATTTTTGATGTTGCGCTTCATTCAGTTCTGACGGTGTCATCGATAGTGATGGGTTTTCCCACTAAAAAAAAATACGAAAAAATATCTCTAGAAGAAGAAAGAAAAAAACGTCATGAAAAGTCAATGGCTTTGTGTAGAACGGTGTCAATACATGGACCTTAAAAAACATGATTAGCATGTTTGTGATATTTCTTGAAACTGCCATCACTTCACTCTTTTTATTGCTGTCAATGTAATGATGATAAAGACACACACCGACTTTTAAGATGTACAGCTGCCGCGCACGTTAGCGCCGTAAAGTAATACTTGAACGTCACATACACATATAGAACCCATGTATACAATTTTTTTTCTTTCTTTCTTTCTGTTTTGGTTTCTGTAGAAAAATGGAAAGCGTCCATCGCAAAGCAGGATCCAGTGCCTACAGTGAACTGTGGAATTTTGTGGTGACCAGATCGAATTTTTGGTCTACGCAACATTGCGTTGTTGTTGTTGTTATTATTGTTGATTGAGTATTGTATGAAATCAAGCGGTCAGTCAATTTGCAGACAAGAATGAAGCCATTACTAGTGTTTTGTAGCTTGCTCATATTGTTCGGCGATTTGACAAGTGCACGTAAGTTCAATCAGATTTGTGATAGCAAATTTACAAAATAAAAATTGTCTATTGACTATGTTGATATTGAGTTGCGGATTGGTTAAAATCCGAAATTTAAAATCCTATCTCGTTGATTTTGTATATAAACATCGTCTAAGTCGATTTGATACTCTAGCATAATAATTTTTTTCGTATATCATTTCACTTCATTTATACCATGACAACTTTCTCCTCGCACACGTTCGGTTTTCTCTTACGATTGAAAGTTGATGCGAATTCTATCCGGTCAATGTCAAAGCAGTTTGACTTGATGAAAATAAAAATTAAGACGAGACTGAATCCTGTTAATTTTATCTCAAGGCTGTCGTTGACATTAAGATTTTTTGCATTGATAATTGTATAATAACGAGTGATGAATGTACAGCACATTTGAGTGGGATGTTGGTGATATTTCCACATATAGATATGCACGTATTTGTAAATTATTGTGCTGATTTTGCATGCGAATACTTAAAATACAAATGAAAATTATTACATCTGTATTTGCAAACAGAAAGCCGATGTCGAACACCACTCAATTTGAATGGAAATTGCATTCCACTGCGCCAATGTGATGCACTCTATGGTCTTGTTAAACAAAATATCAACGAAAATGATCGAGAATTTTTGCGAAAGTCTCAATGCGGAACCGATGGACGAAACCCACTGGTAATATTCAAATCGATTTGCGAATATTTTATTCGGTAACCGATTAACGCATAGTCGTGTAGGTGTGCTGTGCAACGCAGACGGTGTCGCGGCCCCGTTTAAAGCAATCCGATTTCCCACCGCCAGGTCAATGTGGGACACAATTAAAAGAACGACTTGTTGGAGGCGAGGAGGCTTCAATCACTGACTACCCGTGGTAAATATCATTAAAACAACACTGTTCATATTTCACTTCAATTCTACACGAAATTTCATTCAACATCTTCAATATTTTAACGTAACCTTTTTTTTAAATCGCAATCATAGGATGGCATTGATTAAATACACAAGACGTAAATATATGATAGATTTGCACTAATAACGAAAGACCTGAAATACATCAACGTGTTTCATTTTTCTCTTGTAGCTGGAAATCAAGGCGGTTTTTATTGCGGTGGCGCTCTTATACATAAAGACTACGTTCTGACTGGTTTGTCTGGAAACTTATTAAAATGATTTAAAACAATTATTACAGCATTTATATGTTTCTCTCTTTTTCTTATGTTTTTTTTTGTTTTGCATTCGCATGTTCAACGCAGCGGCTCACTGTATACGTGGAGCAAGTTTAGTGAAAAATAGGTTCGAAGTGGTTTCTGTACGATTGGGCGAACATGATCTTCTGTCAGACATCGATTGTGAAGAGGTACACATTATTACTTTTGCTGCAAGTGAATTCAATTAACATGTGTTACGTTCATTTGTAGGGTGAATGTGCTGATCGGCCAATCGATGTGCCGGTACTTGAGACAATCGTTCACGAAAGCTACAAACCAGAGTCACACCTTCAAAACGATGACATCGCTTTGATCCGATTGAGACGTTCCGTTCAATTTACCGACTGGATACGGCCGATTTGTTTGCCATTTGCCAATCATTTGCAGAACAAAAACTTTGACTCAGCTCCACTTATTGTGGCTGGGTTTGGAAAAACGGAAAATGGTTCGTTGAATTTAGAATTAATGTGTTAACGGTTTGTTCTTTGCTTTTGAAACGTTTAATTGACACGGAAAATCATTTTATTCTCTAATTATGATTGTGCAGCATCACGAAGCGATGTGAAACTAAAGCTGGAAATTCAAGGTTTCAATTTAAATCGATGCAATAATGTATATCGGTTGGCCGCCATCTCATTGGGTAGAGGACAAATCTGCGCTGGTGGTGAGGAAGGAAAGGTAAAGAAATATGAAACAAATATGATTGCATCGATGCAAAAGTACTTGAATTGCAATGACAACACAAAGTTTACTTACCCAACGTAGGATTCGTGCAGCGGTGACAGTGGCGGACCATTGATGGCTGAAGATTTGTCTAACCGATTGAATCCGTACTCTTATTTGGTTGGAGTTGTATCATTTGGACCGCGAGTCTGTGGTACGCCTGGATTTCCAGGAGTATATACGGTAATGGCTTCTACATCTAGTTTTGCGCCACTTTCGTATCGATCAGTTCATATATCAATTTTTGTTTTTCCCTTTAGAGAGTTGATCAGTACCTAGACTGGATTTTAAATAACATGAAACCTTAAATTAACATGTATTTTGGCTTTGGCTTTGCACTTCCTAAATGGACTATTTTCAAATAAAGTAATGAATAACACACAACAGTTGGGTTTTGATTTTTTGAACGTGTGGTTACAGACATTTTTTAATATTGTTAAAACTGAAAATATGAGGATTGGCGCAAACAAGGGGTGTAGCAAACGACCTCCATTTGGCGGTAATTCACACTAAAATTAACTTTGACAGATCCCATCAGAACGAAATCTACTTGACGCATTGTAAACAAAACATTCAGAGAAATACCGTTTCAGTTGACAACAGTTAACAATTAATGATTTTATTCTGAATGAATGTAATGTGATCAACGTTAAAAGGGAACCGGGACTTTGTCTTTTGTTGTTGAATACTTTGATATATTTGAGAAATCTGCATCGATGCCGAATATAGTCAACAAACTGAATCAGTATTTTCATGACGAGGTAAGTCATTCGACTCAATAAAACCGACAGAATACTTGTACTGAACAGGTCAACTCCCGTGTTACTAACTTTTTTTTGCCTTTTGTTGGTCATCACTTTTCGAGTTTTTTCCATGCTAGGTGACATTTTTGATAATAACTCAATTTGCCTCCACGAGATATCGCTCAAAATTGGCTGAGAGTCTTGTTTCATCGTCATGAAGCTGCTATTAAATTTTCAGAACGGTTTTATGTCTGTGAAAGGAGTTACAGCGCCATATGTGGTCAGAAAAGTCATTCTTTGACAATTTCTTCGTTTGTTCCATGCTAGGTGACATTGATCGACCATATGGGTGCTAGTAGGTAATGTGAGTGTCTAAATCGGTAGAAAATCACATTTTCTTTGATTTGGGAATAGGGATTCTCAATATGTTGATTTTCTGAAGACTTGTACTGAACAGGTCAACTCCCTTGTTACTAATTTTTTTTTGCCTTTTGTTGGTCATCACTTTTCGAGTGTGTTCCATGATTGGTCCGCCATATGAAAATTTAATAGCAGCTTCATGACGATGAAACAAGACTCTCAGCCAATTTTGAGCGATATCTCGTGGAGGCAAATTGAGTTATTATCAAAAATGTAGCCTAGTATGGAACAATATATAAAAGACAAAAAATGTTAGTAACAAGGGAGTTGACCTGTTCAGTCCAAGTCTTCAGAAAATCAACATATTGAGAATCCCTATTCCCAAATCAAAGAAAATGTGATTTTCCACCGATTTAGACACTTACATTACCTACTAGCACCCATATGGTCGATCAATGTCACCTAGCATGGAACAAACGAAGAAATTTTCAAAGAATGACTTTTCTGATCACATATGGCGTTGTAACTCCCTTCACAGCTAGAAAACCGTTCTGAAAATTTAACGGCAGCTTCATGACGATGAAACAAGACTCTCAGCCAATTTTGAGCGATATCTCGTGGTGGCAAATTGAGTTATTATCAAAAATGTAGCCTAGTATGGATAAAAGAATAAATTTTCACTGCCAGTTTGATTGGTCCACCATATGGGTGATAGTAGGTAATGTAAGTGTCTAAATCGGTAGAAAATCACATTTTCTTTGATTTGGGAATAGGAATTCTCAATATGTTGATTTTCTGAAGACTTGGACTGAACAGGTCAACTCCCTTGTAACTAACTTTTTTTTGCCTTCTGTTGGTCATCACTTTTCGAGTGTGTCCCATGCTAGGTGACATTTTTGATAATTGAAAGGATGATTCTTCTGACCACATAAAGCGATTCGACTCCTTTCACAGCTAGGAAACTGTCTCGAAATTTTAAATTTAAATTCATTGAAAGAAAGAATGATTTTATTGAGCGCAATAGATTTGTTTTGACTAGAAATTGCTGAGATTCATGTTGAAACTCATATAAAACGATGTTAAATGATTCGCCAATTTATACATCTTTGTTCTCTGTGGGAGATCCCTTTTATTTTGATTAAATAATTAATCAAAATAATCCACTTCCATTAAGATGCGAAATATGTTGTTCGAACAAGTTGAATTTCTTATCATTAATTGTTTTGCATTTGAAATATGAAAGAAAAAACAGTAAATTTAAATAATTTTACTGCATTCGACTGGACGGATATAATAATAAATTTCTAAACAAATAGATTGTTTTATTTTAAAATTGTTTATTTTATTCTTCATTTACCAAATAAAAAATCACGGCAACAACGACTGAATGGCGTTTTGAAACATTTCATATTTAACAAATACACTTCGGTTCATGCAAAGTTTACCGAAAAGATGGCAGATGACGCTACGCGTACACTGTTTCATTTCTTTGCTATTTTAGAACCGATTTTCATGACGGTTTCTTCTATTTACTGCTTCAGAAATATATTCTTATCAGAATAACCGTTTTTTTCCAAATTTTTTTAAAAATGTCTTAGCCGTTTGACACAGCAACCAAATAACAATAACAAAAAAATCTTTATATCTCAAACATCTCTGTTTCACCATTATCAGGAAGAATGAAAAAGTGAGGCAATCACTTAACCACAGTAACAATAGAGAGAGAAAATGGAAAAAATTCGACATTTCTGCAGTTTATGTTGAATTATGATTTCAAATAGATTTTGGATGTCCGTTGTTTCTTTCAGAGACTGCATATTTGCTGCTGAGCAGGCCGGAGCTGAGCTGAATTTGCTAACTCAGGCACCTGAATCGGTATTTTAACGCACTTACGGTGCAAAATTGTCATTTCTAGCTAGCACCCACGTTGCTTATCAATAATTATAAGGTGGGTGCCAGCTAGCAATGACAATTTTGTACCGTAACTGCGTTAAAATACCGATTCAGGCGCCTGAGTTAGCAAATTAAGCTCAGCTCAGGCATTCTCAGCAGCAAATATGCAGCCTCTGGTTTTTTTCCTCTATGTAAATGGTTATGGAATATATCGAATGGATTTGATATTGCTTTGACAAATAAAGTGCGCCCATCGTGCGAATAAAAGTACAGATGTATACGCTTTTTTTAGATTTGACTTGTACTATATGGTGCTTATGCTACAGAACTGTTGGTAAGACGATCATTATATGCACCACAGAACACAAAACGACTCTTACATATTGGCCAACCAACAATTTTAGACCGGTATGATGACCTAATCGCCGGATGATGAGACGGCTACATCATTGCATCATTAAAAAAAGCACAAAAAAATGTATGTGTGCAAATTCACTGGAATTTCATTTCAAGCGAATGCCCATTGTTATTTTAAATCTGCAAACAGAAACGCACATTGAGTTTATCCTTCGCCGGAATCGGTTGGTGGAAGCGACTATTTCAATGTTTTTAGTACGAATTGTTTTGATAACAGCATCAGCAGTGTGGTTAGAACATATGAAGTTGGTCACACATCAATAAATGGTTTGCACAGTGCTTTTTGCATATTCTTTCTAATAGATGGTGCGCAAGATACGAAACATAGAAATTTAACTATTTTCAGAACTTGATTCAAACAAAAAGTATGCTCACATTGTGAAAAATAAGAAAGTAGAAAGGACATAATTTTCTTCCGATAACTTCCATAAAAGGCAAAAAAATCGTTTTGATAATCATTTATTAGAAAAAATGATCGATAGTGAGTTTAAAATAACCGTTATTTTGAAGAAAATTCAACTAAAAATAAGTAAACAAATGAACATGTTCGTACTTACCAAAGTCAATCCTCGCACCGACAGCCAGCACAAAACTGATAGCATTGCTCTCAAAAATTTATCATGAAGCAATGTAGAATTTAGTTACGAGAATGCAAACAAACAGATAAATTCAAAACCCAAAATAATTCCGCGTAATTGATGTCACCAGTTTTGTGCCACATGGATTGACTTTGATAAAATTTCTTTTCTTTTGATATCAGTTGTTTTATAATAGATTTCATCAATGAAACAAATAACCAACGTATGTTTTTTTGCTTATTTTCCATTTCGATAAATCTGACGTTTTTACAAATAGTTGAACTTCTCTTAATTTCAGTGGATTTTCCAGTAAATTCTACTGGCTGAAAAGTTGGTTTTGTTAACGAAAATCGAAACCGAGCCCAACGCATATTGAAAATCAGATCGATGTTGAGCATTGAATTATCTGTATAAAGATTTTCAAAGACTATTTGATTTTTCATTGTTGTGAAAGCACTTTTCAACTCACATACAGTGATTATGAATGGGAATAAAATAACAGGAGGAATATTATTTTCATATTTTTATTAGCGTTTATACGTCCAACCAAATAGACTATCTAAACCACTTCAACTATCAATTCTGAGAGCTTTTGATTTCATTTTAATTTTTGTTTGTTTACATGCCTGTTGGGAATGGATTGTACATTGCATTTTCGTTTTTTTTTCTCTTGAAGTATTGAATATGTTGAGGGTGGAAGACTTCCGCTGCAATAAATAGACGGTGACCGGTCATATTTTCCCCCATACAAAGGGAATGGAGAATTTATGTCCAAAATATGGAGAAAAATAGACGAACGGCGTCAATTCAGTGGAAAATCTCGCGATGAACTGGCAGAATTCGATTCACTGGACATATGACGACGATTCCATCAAATAAGTGTAAGTGTCAAAGATCGATGTCGTAGCTCAGTTCCATTGTATAATTCTGGCTGAAAAAGAGTGAAAACATCAGATATAATTGAACGACGAAAAAGAAAACATGATGTCTCGACCATATGCCGAGACATTGTAATCTCGTGAATGGAGTAAAATGAACATAAAAGTCGTCTGCTGTTCAACTTCTGTACTCTAGCATTAATGGCATTTCATATTTTTGGGATAGGATAGATTTGTTTCTCCATCGCTTCAAATGGTGACTCTATCGAAGTTCGCGATCCTTTTATTCTATAGAAGCTTCATCATAAGCATTGACCGAACGCCTATTGGACTTTGTTTATGCTTCAAAAAGGGTGTCTTATCGGCACCTTTTTTTCCAACCCAAAACAGTTTACTTTAGACATTTACAATTCAGCTAAGTTTTAAGTTACTTTCAAAATTGTCCCGTACACACGCTGTGTGGTTATTAAAAATTTAAGAATGTTCAAGTGAACGGATCTTTTGCAAACATAAAA